CCACCAGTTGGCTTTGGCAGGCCTAGTTGCATGTACTGTTTTATTTGAAGATATAAAAGCTATTATTATTATTATTATTATTATTATTATTATTATTAATATTTATCGGTATATTTGTTCGAACTGCGGAACTAAAAGCCATGATGTGTGCAATGCAGAGCCGCTAAGGGTGCTGGAGGGTCGCTTTGGGGCAAAAATAATCACTTTAAGACGCATCCATTGATGATAATACTGCGTAGCGAAACATTTTGAGAATCTAGAAAACTTTTCAGAAAAATTTACCCCTTCACGTATATAAACACAGCATGCATAGCGCGAATGGATGAGATGTTTTATTCTGACTCAATAAGAATATGCATATCTTCTTCCTATTCTTTAACCTGTTTTGTTAATACAAGTTTTGAATATAACCCTATTTTCTTTATGACTTTTAAATGCGTTTCAAAAGAAGAATTACTATAACAGTAACGCGTGCAGTATTCAACTTTTTTGAAAACTTCAATTTCGGTAATTCAGGTCAATTCAGTATTCGACGACTGTAATGGGTGGGTTGACTTCGGGTAGCACGATTTTTAAGAAAAGCAAACGCGAGTGACATTTGAGGAAATACTTACGTTTCGTATTCAGGCTATTACGAGAAACGCGTCAACCAGATTCCATTGTACTTTCCTGAACCTCAGCACAGTTGCGAAAACCACCGTCTGCACCTTGCACAGGCACGTAGCCTTTGCATGCCCGGACATTAGTAGAATACGCTGCATTTTCTCATTTATATTTATTTTTCGACGCTTAGGTTGCAGCCATTACGCCTAATAAACAAAACTGTATGCTCTCTTATTACTTGGACGGCTGCCTAAAAAAAAGTTCTGTATGGCTTCTTTCATTCGCTGCCGCCTAGCAATGTTTCGTTCACTTGAAACTGATCAATGGGTTTTCTGAAATGACCCAAATATCTACGAGTCCTTCAGAGAGCAACATGAAGCGAGAGAAATCTCACGCTAGACGTAAGGGCACACGGTTGCCGTCGAAGCAGCAAGATATTTTTCTTTGAAACGTCCCTTTCCGCTCGCTTTCTTAGCCTTGAAGCCATGTCGCACCATAGAAGCGCCACGGAACTTCCCCCTAGGTCAAGGATTATGAATACGTCGACGCTAGTGGACAATGGAAAAATAGACGCGCTATTCGGTCGTGCTCGCAGGGCAATAAAGTAAACATTCAGAAGCACGTACTCAATTCCCATGTGTGGCAGCAAAGGACAAAATAAGTTGTGCGTGGAGCTGAGCTCACCACAATGCATGCACACTCTGAGCGAACTAGCAGCCTGGGCGTACGACGGTATCATTGTTCTTGGCAGCTAGATACTTTTAAATCCATAATTCTATTGATTCAAGTGACCGTTCATTTCTGTGTAGGGAGGTGTACCTCAGACGGCATGTAAAGAAAACGGTGTCACGGACCGTAAGTGCCTGCTGACAAGAACTTCCTTTTTTATTCGTGTTGTTGCATATCAACATGAAAGATTACTAGATTATCTGGCAGTTCAGAGATACTAGTGTCTCATTTTATTGCGATAGCACAAAGAGCTCCTTTCACCAAAACTCAGGTGGCGATATCGGCGTCGTAGGTTGCGAGCGGAAAAACCACCATTTTTTCCCTAAATATCACCTGAATATCGCCGAATATGCAAATAAAGTAAATAATAAAAACTTTTGGTTCCGAGTGACAACCGCACCCTGGCCACCTGCGGGGAAAGCAGGTAACTTGTGTAACGTCACACATCAAAACATGGGAATGGCGCAATAAGCGTGTGGTATGGAGTTGCCCACCCACCACAAAGTGTACAGCCAAACAACTGCACTCGGTATACCACGCACGAGTAGTGAGCGATTCAGCAATTAGCATAATGAAGAATTGTGGCGTAACGGGCGCTTAGCAGTGCTGCCCGGAACGTCGTTACACGAACTTGTTCCTTTTAAGAGGAACAGAGGAAGCACCCTTCCGTTCAGGATCGGCGGCACTGTAATCGTAACTCGCAATGTTTACGAAGGAATGGTGAAGAGAACGATCTTACTTCCGTAAACGTTCCACGGTAATGAAAAATTCCACGTAGGTGGCACATCATGCAAAACAGTGCAAATGGGAGACCATGGGTGGTGCAAAAAATTTACCGTTTGTCTGTTCCGTGACTCTGGTGCATCCTGGTTTTCACTTGAAGGCGTGCGCCGGGGCCACAGGAAAGCACGCGATGCCGACTTTGAGCATGTGCGAGAGGAATGGCTATATACGATCATGAGCCGGCACTCGTTCACTGCGTCCTGTTAGTCCTTTTCTGCTTCGCTTTCAGTACCCGTGCACCTATTTCACTGGCGTTGGGTGCAATAACTCTGATGTTTGAGGAAACGGGTACAAGTAGAGAAAGTTAGATTGACAAAGAAAAAAAAAACTCTAGGCGCAAAATTACTCTTCGCGAGGTGAAATTTTAGCCCGCGCAGGCACGACCCGAAGGTGAGTACCGTAATGACATGCCTATCTGGTTTGCTTGTATTTTTCGGCTGTCATGGCATTTATTTGACATAGGTTCGGCACCTGAGAGCCGTTCATTACAAGCATAGAAGTCACTTACTCATTCCGCTAGCGTCGCAGCACAATAGAGAACACATAGCACTGAAGAATTTGCATTCTACTCTAGATGGAATACACAAAGCAACGACCTTTCCCAATTGTACGTTACAACGGCAGTAAAGATGAATACTTCACCAATTCAACGTACCATTCTGATTGACTTTACATTTGCCCGTCTACACCTGCTAGCTCACTGACTATCCTAATACAGCGGGCTGTTGAGCAAACTAATGGATCTCCATTTCGCTGAAGCAGGCGCGCAGGATAGAAAAGCATACATAGCATAGCGTAGCCTCGTGTAGTATGGTGTAAAACCAGGGGGTGGGAAATGGAAGTTAGAGTCAAGAGAAGAGTAAGAAGGAGGAAAGAATTGGCATGAAAAAAACACACACAGAAATAAAAGACAAAGATTTAAAAAATAGAGATAGAAAAAGATACACAGAAATATTTTCGCCGATTTTAAACATGGGACTTTACAAAGTTGCAAATGTACACCCTGAACATAATTTTGTATCCATACTCGTATATTGAATGTGCACTCATTAAACTTCTAAGCATATTTCCCTTGGATGGGGATCCCTGTGTAAGAAATTTATTTATAACTTTGCTTGTGCGGAGATATCTCTTGTAATGTAAGAAGCGTAGCATGCTAACTGCCCCCTTGAAGATGGACGTGAAAAGTGCCCCAGGTGTTCGACTCGCAATAGATAAGATGAAAAGTTTAAGTTACGTATGTCTACCGCATATCACCGATGATATCTGAGAAATTTGGCTAGGAACGCTTGCTTATATCGCTTTAATCTCTATATAACCCGCTGTTGGTGATTTTAAATTCGTGCAATATATGTAGCGACATATCGACGTGAAAGATTACTGGATCATCTGGCAGTTCGTCTTTAGATGCTAGTGTCGTATTTGTTGCTGAATTTATTTCTGCTCACGATTATCCGATACTAAACTTTGATTGAAAAGTAAATGTTATTTTGATGTAACTAAACGTTCAAATTTCGCAAATGCAAATGTAATGAGTCGGTTTCGCATCAGCGGAACGTGTAACGGGAAATTTTTCGAAAGCTTGATGAGAACGAGCAACGAGCTTTCGTTACAGTTTCAGAGGATCGTTTACAACACTAACCCTTTGTAACTAAACATACAGTTTACTCTCTGGGAAAGTTTAAAACGACCCATGTTACGCGTACAAACGTTTCCTTTTTTTGCTGCATGGCGGAATAAACGCGCAAAGGTACTGGTTACGCTATCATGTTTTGATGCTGAAGGCTTCCAAGGCTTGATTACAACCAACAAGAAGAACAGAAGTTATTGGCCCACAGTGTACTGGGCAGAGCCACAACCCCATCTTGTTTTAATGCCCCCGAGAAGAAGCTTATTCTATAAAAAGTTCTTTCTCCTCAATCTCTTTTAAAGTGCAATGATCTTTTTGATCGACCTAAACTCGTCTCTTCATTACCATAAAAATGTGAGCTGCATTAACGTTTACGTTCTTTCCGTTTATAAGAAGCAGAGCCTCGTCCAGTACTCCTGGCCATTCCGTGGAGAATGCAGTGAGCGTAAAGATATACTTTTATGTAATATTTATTTTTGGTTGTAACACGTATAAAGGCTTTGCCAGTGCAGTGAGGCGAAAGGAGAACGTAAACCTCTTCACAACGTCTTTGCACACTGGGGCCACAAAAACGACGGATTTCAAAACGATAAGTCAACTTCGAATATTAAGGAATAAAGAAGGACATGATCATTAATACACTCGGCAACAATCTCCGATTACAGTGGTATATTAAAATAATGGCAGTAATGAACATAATGTAATTATATAATTACAGTAACATCAGCACATTTACGAAAAAACAACCGAAAATAACTCGAAGTAACTAGTATTACTATAGTAACACTACCATATTGTATTGAGGAATGCGATGCGGGCTTGTTGGTCGCACATCTTCAGTAAGTTCCCTTGTAGCGCACGTGGAGTACAGGGCAATATGAGCACACATGGTGCCCTAGGTGTCTGTATGTGCGTTCATTTTGTCGTCTTTCATGTGCGTTACAACGACATTCACCGATGGCACTTTGTAATGTTACGATTCAGTCACCGAACATAGTTAATATATTGTAGTCTCATTTACATTAAAATTTGTACTGCACCCCCGCATCCGAAGCAAGCAACATGTTAATTATTGAATTCAAATTCCCGTATCAATCTCAAATTTGGGGTATTTCAACATCAACTGCTACCGTTAAGGAGATCTTGTCCCATGTACGCTCTCGCAAACATAAGTAGTAATTCGTCCTCTCTTGCTTGTGCTAAGCACTACTTTTTGTTTCATACATGCTAAAGATGAAGCGCTCCCCACTCGCAGGAGGGACAAGGTGCAGATTCCGTGCACACTAAATTTCATCAATGAGTGCACGGAAGGGCTCTCCAAGGCTGCAGCACTAGTGGCTGTAAAGGCACTGGAAGAAAACATTGAGGCTGTCTGCAACGTGGGCTCGGACCCATACAAAGGTACTTCCTTTTGGTTTACATACTATCTTTCGCATTGTTTTATTCTTCGCGTTAGTCACTCGCATGTCTTCAACACTTGTGCAATTTGGGAATGAAACACCATGTTTAGGTGCGATATATTGTTTTTGGAAAATATATCCTTGAGAAACACATTCTTTTTGTCTTGTTCTGCAATTTTACCCAGTAAACATGTCAAAATTTGATGCTGACTTTTGTGCTTACTTTTCTTCCTTAATTGCATCGCTCGTATAAGCGTCTGTACAAACTGAATAATTTTCGTCAGCTGTAAAAAACTAATAAAAAAACTCATGACATCGTATTCTTACATTAGTGGAAATAGGTCAAAGTCCATGTCACATATGGAATGCCACAGTGAAAGTATAACTTTCGAGGACTGCCTGTAATTTTTAGCCACCCCCCCTTTTCATTCATTTCATTTCTCGTCCCCATTTTCTGTTGTCTTTACTGACTTCTCCTATACCATTGTTATATTGACTTGTACACAAACAAAGGCACAAAAAAGTTCGTCAATGCAGAGAAAGAGAGAGATAAAGATGCAAGGAAAGGCAGGGATGTTAACCAGACGCACATCCGGTTTGCTACCCTGCACTGGGGAAGGGATGAAGGGGAAAAAAGAGGTTGCAGAAAGATGAGAAGGTACACACAATCACGAGCACACTCGGGGAGCACACACAGTCTAATGCAGAAACACTTTAGGCAAGATGGCATGTTCAACTGCCAGTGCAAAAACTACCCTCGAACAGGGAAATGAAATGGACAGCTGACTATTTATGGTACGGGTGTAATTTCTGTGTGACGAAGGAACCGGAATAGTGGCATGTCTATTGTTTTTGATGTGGTATTGAAAGTCTTGTTGGGCAGATCTGTTTCAGTGAATTCTCTAGAGAAAACGCAGTATAGACGAGGTTTTTTTTGGGGGGTTGTGCGCTGCACTGTATATTCCATTCATTGATTTAGACCTTTCCGCGTAGTTAGCGCATGATTGCCCTGGTGACGGTGTACTCTGTGCTTTACATCAGTTTCGCAAAGTTTGGAAGCAGACAGAATGACCCAGGTAATAAACAGGTGTGGTCAATATTGTAGTTGATATTAGTCAAAAGACATGGGCGTGAGCCTTTCACGCAATGCGCATGTCAGACAACAAGTGGCAAGCTGAATCCACAGAATCGTTACTAAAATATGTCAAACGCAGTCGAGGAAGCCGGCAAATTAGATGGAGTGGCATGGTTAAGACATTCGCAGATATGAAATTGAAACATCTTCCTCAAATGGGCCTGCCTAGGATAATAATAATAGTCTCAGTAATACCATGGGATAAATACTTGCGTTGCCAATTGTATAGAGCAGCGTACTATAGCAGATAACCTGCCCAGAGGCTGCAATAGTGGTCTGCAGCATTGAACGGCTGAAAGGACAAGAGAATCATTATTGCTCTTCAGGTCTGAAGAACGTCGAGAAAACGCCTTGAAGATGTACCTGGATCTCTGTATACGGCCCGCTGTATCTATTAAACGGAATAAAAAAAAACTCAATTAATAGAAACAGTATCGGTATCTGTGAGCTCTTTCCCCTACTGTCCTGAGCGAGTTTCGTGGGCGTTCGGGATAAAGGGGGCTGAGAAAGCTCTATTTTCAAGCAAAGCTTGCATTCATAGACCTAGGAAGCTGGCCAGGTTCCAAAAGGGTTAAAGCTGGTGCCCAGCTACGAAATGACAAATAAAAGTAAATACTCCTTTTCCGGGGCCGGGATATAACCCAGGTCCCTTCGTTCTGAAAGCAAGTGCCTTGACCACAAGGGCCACGATCTTACGCTCATCAAGGTTAAACTGACCTAAAACATACGAATGCCTTCTACCAACAATGCAAATGGAAAAGAATTGGGGAGCAGTACATATGTTATGGTCACTTAATTGAAGTATTGAATGTTGGTGGCCTAACTTCGAACTTCTGAACAATCGATATCACGAAAATCGATATCGATATCACGAAAATTTCGGAAGGTAAGGAAGACTCGAATTCGGGGAAAATTTATTTGCTAACCCACGTTTTCACCATCGCTCGATGCTTCCTTTGTTGGGCCGTTCTAGAGGTTGGCAAACGCGCGACATGAAAGACATCGGTGCCTATTCATCCCGGAAAACAGTGTTTTGAGGTAGCCAATATCTCTAAGCTGCGCGCTTACGTAATCGCGCAATGCAATAGAAAGAAAGAAAGAAAAAAAAAGAAAGAGAGAAAGAAAGAAAGAAAGCAAAAAAAGAAAGAAAGATAGACAGAAGTAGGTCACGTGAAGGACAAGTGGTGCTTCGCCCCATATTCTTGGGTGTGGAACGTTTCCCGAATACTCTGTATAGAATGATGCCAACGGGGGGCTGGGTGGAATAGATGTGTTGTGAGGCCATGGTAAGCACAAGGGGCGATTACAATCAAATAATTAGTGCCTGAAATTGTAAAAGTTTTTTCTCTTTTTTATTTGATTTCCCCACCAGAATTTCAGAGAGGAATCAAGTGCATGAATTCTCATGGAGTTCAAATTCACAAGTGCATCAAAGGTTTCCACGATACTGTAGAACGGGCCATCATCAAGGGTTCCGTGAAAGAAACTGTTCACTACACATGTTGGTGAGTATTGTTCTGATTCAACATTCTGCGATCACTTCCTGTGGATCTACATGTGATCGACGTATACTCTCGGAGGCCCTCTATTGACATTGGAACGATTAGAATCGCTCAGATCTAGCTTCAACTTCATTCCGTTTGTTATATATGTAGAAGGAATATTATTCAACGTTGTTCATTATCCAGGAAGACCCTGTTCTAAAAGATCAGTGCTGACGCTTCACCTATGGCACACCTGCTCTTTGTAACGAAGCGTCGTCGTTACAATTAGAACTCATAGATCACCCCACCAAAGAGAAAACTGCGCAAAAACGCTATATTCTTACAATAGGCCCAATACGCCTAATAGAATGAAACGCTATGCTGACTAATGTTTAAAAAAGGCCCTGTAAACAAACCTGTGGACCAATAATAATGACGGAGAGATAACTGCAGACTTGTAGGATGTGAACGTGAAGCCGGAAAAAAAGGGTAATAAATTTAATGGTGAAATAAGGAAACGAGGCGCAGAACCATCCACTCCGATTGTTTCTGGTTTCTCGTGCAGCCTTCTCTGCATTCTGGGCAGCGATGAGGGACACGCGCAGCGCATTTCCATGGCTATACGCTCACTTCGGCAACTTCGGCAACTGCCGAGCAAAGGTGTATCCCATGTTCCGCCAATAAACCCGGTCTTCTGCTTTTGTTTTGTTGACACTTCATACCTGCAAACTTCTTGATGTCATCTGTCCACCAAATTTTCTGTCTTCTTACTCGTTCGCCTTCTCTTAGAATACAGTCAGTCACACTCAATGACCAGCCGTTACCCTGATAGTTGTAAGCTTAAGAGACACGAAGAGAGCAGAGTAGGGGGGATGAACAACAAGAGGGAAGGCAGGGAGGTTAACCAGGCACATGGCCGGTATGCTACCCTACGCCGGGCGAATGGGAAGGGGGCATAAAGATGAGAGAGAGGAAAGAAAAGAGAAAGAGAGAAAAAAAGAAAAAAAGGATTGTCAGTCAATCTACTGGCGCGTATCCAGTGGTGGCACTACACAAAAGTTAAAGGTGGTCACGTAGGCCTGTAGTCCTCAAAAAGCACAAGGCAGCTTTGACTGCTTTTTGAGCCGACGAAAGGCGATGACAGTGTTCCAGTAGCATCTGCACAGAGAGTGGCTGATCGTCCAATTGTCGCAATGCGTCCGAAAGCTTCTTTCTTTCAGAAGCAAATCGAGGGCAATGGCATATCAGATGGTCGATTTCTTCTTTGGTGCAGCAGACATCGCATTCCGCATTGTCGGTCAATCCGATGAGGGTTCTATATGCTTTTGTGAAGGCAACCCCCAACCAAAGGTGACAGAGAAGCGAAGCTTCACGTCGACGAAGTCCGGATGGAGGTCGAAGTTCGAGTCGAGGGTTTATTTGGTATAGTCTCGTATGTCTTATGCTTGGGGTGTTCCACTCCTGCAGACACAGACTACGTGCCAGGTGACGAAGTTGCTTTGCAGCGTCAGTCCTTGACTAAGGAATCGGAAGTATGTGCTCTTCTTGGTGCGATGGGCGAGCCGCGTTGTCTGCGGAATCATTGCCACTGATCTCACGATGGCCAGGAAGGCACTGAAACTTGACCCCGTGGCCTGTTTCTGTGACGTGGTGAAGAAGCTTCACAACTTCGTAACTTAATTGTTCATGGAAACCTCGTCGAAGGACTGACTGCATGCTCTCTAGGGCCGCTTTTGAGTCGGAAAACACAGCCCATTTACTCAGTCTTTGGGACTTCATGTACTCTAGGGCGCCATGCAAAGCCGCACGTTCTGCCACCGTAGACGTAGTGACGTGTGACAGCTTGATTCGCAGAGTAATTCCTCTAGCTGGAATCACCACCGCACCGCCAGAACCAGACGCTGCGGTTGAACCATCGGTGTATATGTGCACGTGGTTATTGTACATTTCGTGCAGAAGGCTCAAGCTCAACTGTTTTAGGGCTGGTGAAGGCAAATTTGATTTTTTCTGTATTCCTGGAATTGAAACACGTACTTGTGGAAGTGTCAGGCGCCATGGAGGATACACCATTTTCTCAGCAGGCGTAAAACCTGACGTAAACGACGCACGATGAGCACAGACAATTGTACTAAATTTCGTGCGGGGCCTCTCAGTAGCGAGGGTTGCCAAGTGGTGGGAAGGATTCCTAGCATGTTGCCTGAGGTACGTACGCATCGTTTCAATGGTGATGTGCGTCATGATCGAGTAGTCCTGTGCAATTGCAATTGTTTCAGCTGTCGACGCGCATCGGGGTAAAGCAAGGCATATTCTAAGCGCTTGGGCTTGAATATTTTGGATTGTGTGCAGGTTCGTTTTGCACGCGGTAAATATAACAGGTAGGCTATACCGCAGGAATCCAGTAAATAATACCTTGTACAGCTGTAACATAGACTCGACAAACATTTCCCAACTTTTCCCAGCAAGAAACCTGAATAAGAGAGAAATGGCGGTCAGCCGCTTTTTCACGTAGTTTACGTGGGGTGTCTAAGACAGGTTTCGGTTGATTACGACTTCCAAGAACCTGTGACTCCGGCTGCATGACACCAACTGCCCGTTAATTGATATGCCGTAAGCGGATGTTTCGTTTTCTGGTGAAAGCCACGACTGCACACTTCCCACTTGCGATTTCGAGCCCTAGCTTGTTTGCGTAGGTGGTGCGATGTCACTGATGCTGCCTTCTGAAGTCGAGCGCAAAGTTGATGTCGAGTCAAACCTGATGTCCACACACAGATGTCATCAGCATATATGGAAAGTCGTACACTGCTTGGTTGCTTGCCAACTAGTTCAATGAGTGTTAGGTTGAACAGCGTCGGGCATAGAACTCCGCCTTGTGGGACTCCTCGGCTGCAGTAATACTCGGGTGTCGGGCCATTCTCTGTCTGCACGTGAAATGATCTATTCTGTAGGTAGCTCTGAACCCACGTATATACCCTGCCACCGAGTCCCACTCATTCTAGTGCGCTGAGAATGGCTTCGTTGGTGACATTGTCGTATGCCCCTTTAACGTCAAGAAATAGAGCAGAAGATAACCGTTTGCAGGCCTTCTGGTGTTCTACATATGTCAGCAAGTCAACTACATTGTCAATTGACGAGCGGCCTAGTCTGAACCCGGACATGGTATCTGGATATATTTCGTAGAACTCTAAGTACAATTCCAGACGCGTTAAAATCATCCTTTCCATAACTTTTCTCACACAGCTCGCGAGGGCAATGGGGCGGTAAGAGGAAATGTTGCAGCAGGCGGGGTTCGCGTGGCATAAATGGCCAGCAGTTGCTGCCCCTGAGTGTCTCCTTAATAACAACGATATGCCAGTTTATCGGGTGCCTTCCTGAAAGCGGAGAAAAGCAAAGCCCTTCATTTCAGTGGCTTCCACGGCTATTTGCCGAAAGGTATTCAATACGTGGATGCCGTAAAAGTTCTCGGGGTATACTTTCATTGCGGGAAGGTGGCCAAAAGAAATTGGGAGGACGCCATACATAGAGCTACGCAGGTCTTCGCGTATGGCACTGACTTTAATTTGTCAGGTAACGCCAAAGTGCCGGTGGTGAAAACCAAAGCATGCGCATATGCTTTTTATAGCGGGAACATTGCACTAATACCCAAACCTTTTGCGAGCCTTCCTATGGGACGGGAAGACACCAAAAGTTCAACAAAAGTTCCTGAAGCTCCCAAAACGTTGTGGAGGACACAGTCTGCCAGATGTTGCGACATTCACAAAGGCACTTGCAGTTAAAACACTTCACAAATTGTTTCAGGACAATGACTATCCTGGCCGTAGCCTATTGCTATATTAGACCAGAACTATGGGAGCCGCATTCACGTCGGAAAGGTACCGGGGTCCTCAAGCAGACCAACCGCACGCTTTTTAGAAAGCAGCAGAGAGCCTCAACCGTTCAGTCGATGGCGACGCCGCCGAAGAATACTTTGCAAAGCTTACACCCGCACGCATTGGCGAAATGTTAATCAGTCGCTCAATTACTGACGAGTAAAAACAGATATGGAGGCCCAACAAGTAGAATAAATGGCGGAACCACCACGTACCAGAAGTAGTTAGAGCATTTGGTCGTGATGGTAGGACGCGTTGCCCACTCGTCAGAGACATTCAAAGTGGGGCACCGTTCCCAATGACCACTGCCTGAACTGCGGCAAAAGGCAAACGATCCGCCATAGGATGTTTGGCTGCGTATCGGCCAAAGGCGTTTGGCACATTGTGCGTCTGCAGTTCGGATTGTCAGTTCCTTCGGCCGAACAACGCAGAAGGGGATAATTCGAACAACCTATACTTTACGTCACGATATTCATCTTGTGGTGTCGGCGCTGTATAGCCGAAGTACGCCGACGCCCAACGAGCTGCATACCCAGCGTTACAGAAGATTAGAATGATCATGGCTCGGTGCCTTACTGAACATATTGAAAGGCAGGGTGAAGAAAACTTCAACAGAGTGGCAAACACGTTCTTTTTTTGGAGTTCGGAAAGGGAATATTGAATTTTTTTACTGCCGTTTTAACTCACGAAACAAAAACGTTGCTTCCCGTCACACATTTGTGAATCTGTACCAACTTGGTGCTTTTTGCATTTCCCTTTCTCCTTGTTTTCTTGAGTTCTTCGTGATCTGTGAGAATATTGAACTGCTGTGTGTTACATCTTGTCTATGTTCTCTTGTTTGCACCCGCCACTGGAGTGATTTTGTTACACCAGACAGTTGTACTCACCCGAAATGTTGTTACCAGTTTGCAATAAACTTTCCTAGCTACCTTAATCACCGAAGGGTTATACTTTATCATGCCCCTAGTAACAGTGGTAGTATCATGCCACCATCTTACCATACGCATGGCTTCACTCCTGGACAGTGATTTCCACTCCAGCATTTTTTTCCTCCTTGGTTTAACAGCTCCGTGGTGCAAAGAAAAACTCATCAAGTATTCGGGACCATATCTGCATAAATTACAAAGAGTATCAGCATGCGAACACAGATTCCCACAGTATGTAGGAGAAAGGCTAGGTCAAATTTGTATCGCTGGGTCTGGAAACCAAAGTCTGGTTAGAGCCACTTTGCATAAGGCGCGTAGTTGAGTCCTAGCCTCACTTCTTGTTCTTTTCCTCTGTAAATCGCGATGCAGGCGATGCCGAATAGATGGTGAGAATCGACTTCCAGGCAGGTGCACAACACTCTCACACTCTTGCCGTTGGGTTTAGAGTTACGCAAATGGCACATTGCGATTTCGTTGCTTACGCACGCACACGACATCTGCATAGTCAATTGAATCGGCATTTCGTAGATATGCTACGAATGACCAAAGTAAGAGCTTCATCGTCACGTTTTGATTCTCATTTCCTCGTCTCCATTTTCCTGTTGTCTTTACTGACTTCTACTAAACCATCGTTATATTGACTTGTACACACACACATGCAGAAAAAAGTTCGTCAATGCAGAAACACTTTGGGCAAGATGACATGTTCAACTTCCAGTGCAAAAACTACCCTCGAACAGGGAAATGATATGGACAGCTGACTATTTATGGTACGGGTGTAATTACTGTGTGACGAAGGAACCGGAATAGTGGCATGCCCATTGTTTTTGATGTGGCATTAGAACTCTTGTTGGGCAGATCTGTTTGCAATCCCATACACTTCATGCAGTGCTTGTTTACCGTAAACGTTTTGAGCAGTCTCGAAAGAATGCCAATGAATAACTTCCGATCTGATTAGCATACAAATTTTGTACAGAGTGTTAACGAGTAAAAGAAAAAGGAGTTTTCTTCTGACATTTTCTTACGTGCTTCGCTCAATGTTCTTGATTGGCAGCTCTTACCACGACACGCTGGACTGCATTTCTAGCGCCCTCGATCCTTGCGAGAGTGTCGGCTCTAAGGATTTCATGATTGGGGTCATCGAGCAGATGTTCGGCGAGACACTCAACCTGGTATGTGGCAGGTACACGAAGGGTTCGGATAACTGCAAATCTCTGCCACAGCTGCCACCACTGGATGCGAAGGATCGGCGGATCGGCAACATGGTTGAAGTTCTCTTGGAAGCTGCGGGAACTATTGGGCGAAAAAACTAGCTCATTACGTGATACGTGTCATGGCGCCTTTGTATCTATTTGTGACAAGTGGCATAATTAAACAGCGTAATACTTCCGTAGAAGGACGTTTCGATATTCACGTGAAATCTCCTTTGGCAGTGTCAAAGTAGGGTGCGCTAATCTTTGCGTTATTTGCCGGGGTGCAAAAGTGATTTGGGAAGTGACGTCGTGTAGAGGAAATTTAAACGAGACAAAGTGAAAGATCTTCGCTGCATATTTGTAAAACTTTACAGGGTGCCGTGCAGCTGGATAGGTCACAAGGATATTTGCGAAAGCCCACTTCAGAGATTTTTCCTCAAATATATTCCTAATGGTAGTAATGTAAATGGCATTTTAAGGGTTGGAACCACGATATGGTTATGTGGCCTGTCGTAGTGAAGCGTTCTAGAATAACCCCGATCAGGAACTTTATCCTGCACCTAAATCTAGGGACACAAGCGTCTTTTTCATTTGGCGTACATTCAAAAACAAACTTGACAGACAAACCGGGACATCGCATAATGTTTTAGTCCAAGATTACCATGATGGTACTGCCACCCTTGTTTCTCAAGTTTTGTTAGTGCCACATTGCACGTGTAAGTGCTGCCCTGTGAAAACCACATCGATTGACTAAGAATCATAGACTTAATTTTAGAACGTTCTGGTGCGATTGCGCACACAACGCGAACATTACAGGTTCTTCTGCAACCTACGTGGTGTCTAGCGATAACGCTGTCATATTCTACGGCACATCAATAGACTGTTTTGCGCAGCCAGTTTGTCTATGCAAAACTAGAATTCTCCACCACTCCGAAGCGCCACGGTTTTCTCTTCGGCGGCGCGGCCGTTACGTTGCCTGTCTACGGCGGGAAACGGTGGTGGTTGTGATTCTCGAAAAAAAGAAAAAAAAACCCTAATTTCTGTCAGCCATAAAGCGACACAGCACGGTGCCTAAGAGAAAAAAAGAAAAAAAAAGGAGAGAAACGGGCGGCGCGGACTATGCGCTGCGCCCGCTTTGCTGGCTTTCAACCCGGGTGAGGTGGTGGCGAATTCGCTAGCCATCGGCGATGGTGAAGAAGTAAAAAAGAGAAGGCCATTAGATCACGTGTTCAAACGTGGCAACATTCGTTCGCCGCTGCAGAAACCCATTTATAAATACCGACGCTCATCATCACTTCGCAGTTGATTGACGGTCGACGCCCTCTTCGCTCCTATCAGCGCCAGTGTGTGTTGCTGCAGCCTGTCTGGTCACGAGTTACACCAAATAAAGTGTTTTTTTTTTTGACACGCCGACGCCACGCCCCAGTGACTTTACTCGGTGAAAGAAATGACCCTAGTTGCTCCTCAAGGATGAAGAGATAAATGCGGTAAGAACAATAAGTGAGAACGTTAATCGAAGTGAGGCAGGAGCTGACTCTTTTGTATCCGATTTCTAATTGCTCAAGAAAGCGATAGCATAGTTCGCACCAAAGACCGAAGTGGTTTTTGCGCTGTCAGTTCTTCAAGTGTGAAGCAGACATTTAAACCACCGCAAATTGATGAGCCGTCTCCTGATGTTAGTCGCGACAGCGTGCGCGCGACGAGCAAAGCTCACAGTTGCTAGTTCGTCGAGGCGTTTCGTCTCTCTTTGAGGGGCCATTGACTTCGGGCCTCGTAACCCACCATGATGGCGTACTATTGCGCTCGATTCCACATGCAGGTCCTGGGAGCAAATACCGGCGGCGCTGGCCGCTCTTTCGATGGGGGTGAAAATGCTGTCGGACCATGAGATCAGATTTAGTGCACGTTAAAGAACCCCAGGTGGTCGAAATTTCCGGAGCCCCCCACTACGGCGTCTCTCATAATCATAGGGTGGTTTTAGGACGTCAAACTTGAGGTGTACATCATGATGATTCAGGCCTTGTACGTGGAACGATGCTATCGCTTGCACCATTCGTGCGGGGGAAATAGCTGGCTCATTTTGATCTCTGTTTCTGCCGAGTTTGTTAGGGGAGCATGCGTGCTCTAGTGAGACCACCAAAATACAACGCGCGGTGATATTATCGATTCGAACTTCACCCAGAAAATGACGGCAGCAAATAAACACCCATTAAGAACGTCTATATGGCTGCTATCGCAATGAAAAGCTTCGAAAAATGGGCAGCTGTGTGACTAGCTTGCGTTTGCAGCTGAGAAATCCCCAAGGAATCAAGAACCACATCAAGAAAGGTGTTCTTGTTTGTCATTTGTATGTGCTTTAAATTATTTCATTCGGAACCTGTATTCCACTTCACCTTCAAAAATCCTCATCGCATGCCTATCAATTGTTATTAAGCTTCATGAAAGCTGGCCGAAAGAAAAGCTAGCAGAAGCTATTCGAACACCAAGCAGTGGGGAAAAAGTAATCCTGCATTCTGATCATTTGCATTTATGGTGAAAGCGACCACGTCAGCACAACTCCTGCTGGAAACTGGCTTGCAAAACTTACCTCTACGACAGTGCCACGTGCAACCCACGCATGCTAATGACGCAACGAGCACTCCCTTCGAATAAGTGAGAACCGAAAAAAATATTATAATGGTCAGTGTAAGCTTTTTTTTAAAAAAAGTTCATTTTGTAGTTTTGTGCATGTCATGAGACTTCACAGAATATCACATTAATAGGCGTCACGTATTCCACCCGAATACAGAGTATGATGCGAGTTTCTCGGGCAGGGCGGCAATTTCGTGCGCTGAAAGACACCACGGAAAACTTAATTTCGATGATTCTTCCCGGCAGGTAAGTGAACCACTTACTGTTGCAACGTTGAGCGTATTGGTAGAAGGAGGTCATGCATCTGCTAGAAGTTGCTTAGAAAAAAGAAAAAAAAGGCGAGCCATTAGCACTCTATGCTATAGAATTCAAAGTCCTAGTTTGGGTTGCTCTACTAGAGAATACGCACACTTTCCCAACTCCAGAGAAAGACTAACGCAGGGCTTGAAGTGCGTTGAAACAATATCTTCCCAGGATACAGCTTGCCCAGTTCCATATCACCTCGAACGAGATCAAGATGACGCGAGTAAAATATAAATAAGGCTTCCACAATCGCTTAGGTTAATACCGCAAAGATATACTTGCTCGTTTCAAGGTTACTTATCTACATTTTACAAGCTGTGTGTACCAGCAGAGGTCCGTGTTGCATAATAACCACCCACAAAATGAGAACACATGCCTTTCAGCATATAAAATAAAACTTATTGTACCATGGCCAACCAGAGCTTTGCAGGAGAACGCTACAAAAACACTAAAACACATTTTTAGAAGACCGTACGACTGGTGGCAGTTGTTATAAGTAGAAAGGAACGTTTCTTCATAATTTATGTCTTTCTTTCATATTCACTAATATATGAAATATATGACAGTCGGCAGATCATGGGCTGAAGCCGATGATCTGCAGACTGTCATTTTCACGTGAGTGGATTCATCTCCATTAGGACCAGATGTGTGTCGAGTCACCACGGTAGTCCATTGGCTAAGGTACTCGGTTGCTGAACCGCAAGTCGCGGGATCGAATCCCGACTAAGGCAGTTGCATTTTCGATGGAGGCGAAAATGGTGTAGGCCCGTGTGCTCAGATTTGGGTGCACGTTAAAGAAACCAAGGTGGTCGAAATTTTCGGAGCCCTCCACTACGGCATGTTTCTTAATCATATGGTGGTTTTGGGACGTTAAACCCCACATATCACTCAAGGACCAGATGCGTTAATTGATATGTTGTGCGATCGGACTGAAGAATGACCAGATCAATTATCAGAAACATTATTTACTGCCTTGCGGACATTTCATTTTACGTTACGATGACTTCCTTTGACGCAGGTGGGCGTGCGTGCTTGCGTGCGTGCATGTGCAAATGCGTGTGTGTTTGTGTGCGTGCGTCTGTTTTTACGTATGTGTGCTGGTGTCTTTTATTTGGTATGTAATGCCCTTTGTATTGTCTTAATTGGTATGCTCAATACTATTCACTCAAGGGCTAAACAGCAGCCAGTGCCTTAGTTTTGCAACAACATCGCCCTATAGATGATATATAAAAACAGCTAAATCTCTTTCTCTGACCAAAGCACAGCAACAAATTCAATGCTGTTATATCCGAAGGCCAGCCGCTAAATCACCCATGAGCGGTGGACGCGACACAGGAGCTGTCCACAGCTGAAACCACGGGATGCATAATGATGTGGACGAAGGCTCCCAAGCTTGAAACACTGTGTCGAAATATCGTGTCGAGCTTGCCAATAGTTGTTAGAATGTATCGCCGGCTACATTCACGAGACAGCCGCCAAACAGAAACAAAGTTTTGGCATGCACGTGCATCATTGAATAAGCTCACAATATTACAAACAAGTTCCACAACGTGTTACCCTTCCCTCGTCCTTCGCCTGTTTGTCATTCCTCTGTCGTGGACGTTTGGGTTGAAATTAGGCCGCAAAAACGGGTGGAGCAACCTCGCAACAGCGGAGGGAAATGGCACACAGAACCTTTCCCGCCCCATCGCGGCCTTCAACTTGAGGCCCTTTCACGCCACTCAAGTTTTTTTTTCTTTCCTGCTCTATTGGAACCTAATCTTAAATGCGCAATAAATAGCCCTCTCATGTCTCTCGGTGCTCTTCAGTTGGAGCTGGACGCAAGACGAGATCGCACGCTGCGCATTCACAATGGCGACCAGTTTAGGCGTTACCCTACTCTTCTTTTCAGCGCTGCCACTGCTCGGTGAGTTGGAGTATGCTTTGAGAAATATATTTCATACATCTGAGCATGTACAGAGAGAAGCGTTTAGTTCTAAAAGGTATGCGTAGGTGTTGCTCTATTGTAATACGCTTTGGTAAAATAGGAATCGAAAGTTTGATCGAATTGAGATTGCTATTTTGTTCGTTTCTTCTACGCGCTGATTCCCACTCTGGCAGGTTAAACAATCATTGTTGGGGCTTCACGCTCCAAAAACACGATACAATTATGAGAGACTCCATAGCTGAGGGCTGCGGGAAGTTCAACCGTCCGGTGTTCTTTAACGTCCACTATTTCCCACCGTACACGGACCGCTAGCAATTAACCTCTGTCAATGTGCGACTACCACGGCCGGGGTCGAACCCTTGACCTCTATGCCAGCAGCCGGCCATCGTAACCACTCCACCGTGGACTAATCTGGCAGGTTAACCCCCCAGGGTATAGCTGAGCAAGTGACATGTTACGCTGCTAAGTTCAAACACGTGGGTTTAATTATTCGTTGTTGGGGCCAAGTATTGATGGCGAAAAGCAGAAAAGAGCTCGTACTTAAATTGGGCACAGTCGGAGTCAACAGTTTAAAAACAATTACTATACTAGGTCGATTGTAACGCGATCACGATGGTACTGCGAGAAGTCACTATTCATTACGTGAAAAAAAAAATTATGCTATTGAATAGAAACTCAACGGTAGACGTTAGGTAACAAACCATTCTTGTTACATTCGAATAAACACAGTAGGTTTGAAAAAGCCAACAATTTCCCACATATTTGGTATAACTGAACAGTACATGTAAGCGCGTTTTCAGAGCATCCTGTGAATTCAAGCTTGAAGCTGCGTGCCAGAGCATCAAGAATTCCACTCACGGTCATGGCCAGGATTTTTTTTTTATTTGAAGAGGGGTTAGAAGCGGCTCTTATACATTATTTAAACGCGTGCGTGCGTTTGTAAGAGTGCGTGTATATATGCGCAAATGGAAAAAAATATGGAAGGTTTCAACAGTCTGTGTCTCGATGCAGGTGTTTCCTGCTCTTCGTGGTCCACAAACTTTTGAAATGCACAATACATGTTGGGGTGCCCGCACTCGAAAATCGTTTGGTGGCCCTGACTGCGGCATCACTGACAAGTAAAACGTTGTATTCGTACGCAGAACCAATCAATCTTTCAGGTTTCTCTACAGTACAACGTCACACACTTTTGGTTATAGGTTTTCCGAGATACGCTAAGATAACGTGCTGCTGAGCCAACCTTTCGAAGCTCAAGCGCGGCATCAGAACGCGTTAAAGAAAACAGAACCCGCTTTTACTGCTCTCTAGTACATTTGGATAGATGTAGGAGAAGTTTATATTGGTTAAAGCCGGGAAAATGCCTGAAAAGCACTAAAACGGCGAGGAGAGGAGACATCCTATTGCAACTGCGTTTTCTGAAAATGAAGCTTGACCTATAAGAGAAACTTTCAGAAGGTTCATATGATTTTCCAAGAAAACACTCGTGTTACCTGCACCACACAGGTGCAGCAACCTACCGGAGCACCAGCACCACATTTCAGCCCAGTGATGCAACCACACTGAGTAGCTATATAGTGTAAGCTACGTACTGGGCAACGCAAACCTGTCGCAACTTTTGCGGTCAGCGTTGGCTCTCGCGTACCACTCGAACTCTTGTATCTGCCTAAAGCCCTTTTTCCCCAGAGGCTCAATACTAACTTCATAATTGTTCCAATTCCATTTGTATTGTCGGACAAATTTCATATTCATTGAAGTTACAAACCGGTAGGAATGGTGACCACAGAGGAGTGGTTTGAGCTCTCTATTTATTTTGCCTCTGTTATCATCAGTCAGAAAAATTCGTGCGGTGTTGTGTGGCGTCGACTTGGGATACAGGACGTGCCTTCCTTTCAATGACATGCGCACAGACGAACGTATTTGTAAAGAATGCAGATTCGTGAGAAATTCGTTTGCAGGAAATCCTCAATATTGTGATACGATGCACAGTGCACAATAAACGATGATGTGAATACTGCTACTCACATGGGCCTTGGGCAGTCGCGTAAACTTCAATGCCTTGAAGAATAACAGGAAGTGTACGATTGAATAAACAAAATACAAAAACAAAATGAAAATTACCGTCAGTACCTGAGCTCATATAACAAGCAACATTCACCGAAAATATACTGCTGTGCTTCGCCGCGGTAGTCTATTGGCTAGGGTACTCGGCTGTTGACCCGCAGGTCGTGGGATCGAATCCCAGCTGCAGCGGCTGTATTTTCGATGGAAGAGAAAATGCTATAAGCCCGTGCGCGCAGATCTGGGTGCATGTTAAAGAACCCCAGGTGGACAACATTTCCGCAGCCCACCACAGCGGCGTCTCCCATAATCATTAGGTGATTTTGGGGCATTACACCCCACATAGCAATCAAAATATACTGTTGTAGGACGGAAACCTGGTGACAGTGACGAACACTGATGCACTGTATGTAAAGTGTGCTCCTCAAGGCAATACTCAAATAAACCCTGTCCACAATTCTGGCCCTCTAACAACCAGTTTGTTAGGAAACAATCTCCACGCACGTAGCACTCGGTGGTCGAGATCAGTCAGAACTGTCGACCACCACAGTAGCCGTGTGCAAACATGACAGTGTTCTTCTGTAGGAGGGCGAAATCCAGACATCCTGTGCATGCAGATGCTCCCTTGAATAGCGAACCCGGTTGTACGTGTTCCTTTTCTATAATGAATGTTGTTTTCCAAAGTGTGCCACGTTGATCTCGTTTCGATATCTGCTGTTTGCTTCGGAGGCACTACTAGAACGCGACAGCAGTGATCACATGACGAAACCTTGTACCCAAACTCGCCGCCATAAATATGGACGCAACTGAGTGGCTCAATCTGGGACAAGGTTTCTGAATCACAACGTCTGACCTCTTTTGCTGGAAACCATCGTTGTTGTCGGGGCATCAAGTACTCGCCGCCTTCCCGGTGTACGCACAGCTTTCCTGCAGTCATCGAAGCACCTTTAATCGTATTTTAAGTCCTGCGTCACTCACTGCATCATATCAGAATGACTGAGCAGTTTTGTGACTGCATATTTTCTTCAATATACGTTCAACACGGGACAAGAAAGTGAGCTTCTATGCTTTGGGCCCATTTGTATGCCCCATATAGTGCGAGCAGTGCGTGTCGCTCGTCTTTTTGGCACTCTGGGACCTGTGATGACTCAGCCACCACATTTTCTTCTTAACGTCGTCACAGTTTGGGGATCAGTGTCAAAAAGTCCTCGCTTGTTTCGCAATTCTTAGCAATTGTGATTTCCCCTCCCTCACACTTGCGTGCTCGCCCTATCGCTCGTATTTGCAGACTTGCTAAGTCACAGTCGTTCCACAGTGTAGATTTCTTTGCTGAAATACCTACGGCAGAGCTCCGTTCTCGTGATCACGTCTGGCTCTGCTAGCTGTGCTACGACGGCACTATTTTCTGCTTCATTTTATTGGTATTTCCGAGTACTAGCAGGAGTGAAATTATCGTGCACTACAGTAGTTTTTCTATGATGTCGTTATTACTGCATCACAATTGAAAGTTGCAAAGAATGTGTCCTTTGTGGTTCCCATGGCTTCTTCGCTTGATGTTTTCATTGAGCAGTATCTAACAAATAAAAAAACTACCCCCTTGAACAGGTAAGAGTATTGTATTCTTGTGATCGTATACATGGATTCCTAATTTCATCGTTCATTTTAAAGCATATTTTGCTCCGAACGTGCATAATTTAATGGCTCAAGGTGTCACAGGGGAGACCGATTCTGAGTAAACGTGTGTTTACCTAACTGTTGTTTTCTAAGCGCGAAAACGACTGCTCTACACAAATTTTCACAGTGAGTGATGTTCCCAAATGTTTGCAACACAACTGCAGCTGAACGTGTAAAAGCATTACTGGGTTTATCATTAAGCACACTCACGGCGCAGTAGCCGGTTCTTATCTTCATTGTTTTTTACATGGAATAATGCCAAAAAGTAAGCACAACTGTTCAGTTCCTACGTCTTCTTACGGTTTTTTTTCTTTTTCGTCTTCGTATCGGTTATCATCGCGTGAGCTGTAAGTTTTGGATGATTGCCATTTCTGAAGCATAAAGTGACTCAACCGCAAAACAACAATAACTGCGGATAAATACATAGGAGAGGGGAGGGCGGGATACTCTGCGCACAGGCGTATTTCATGGGAGCACTCGGAAAACTCTGCGTCTATAGTGTACGCGAGATGCATTCAGGCTTCTCAGTAATTGCAGTGAAACTCGCACAATGTGTTTCACTGTGTAGTTAGGGTATGGAGTTTCTCGAGGTTAACTAGAAAAGAATCTGGCACTGCAATGGTTCAGCCAAAATGCAAAAGATGGGATGTTCACAAGCTTGCCTAGCCTGCATGCTTGCGGGCTTCGAACGTGCTTGTGCATTTCTTTAATGCTGCATTTTGCTTTTGTTTCAAGTAAAATAACACCATTTTCAACTTCGTTTGCCTATTTGAATTGATGTGTCTAAAAAAGTCAAGGTAGCGAAGGGCCACTGCCGATCATGCGCTGATTGTCGCCTTGTAACAAAGTGGCTCCATGCCACGCGAAGCCAAACGAAGTCTTAAGAACTGAAATTAGACAAATTTAGACAAATTAGACAAAAATATTAGACAAATGCTCGCTGAAGCATCGTGCATTGCAGTTCCTTGAGAGACGAGCGCGAGTGTTCTCTATAGTGCACTTAGAGTAACCTTTTATTATTCAGTTGAATAACCACTCAGTATTTGGCTCTCAATTACTCTTGAAGTTGGGCATCGATATGACGTTAACAGTTGAATGCATATGTGTAATACCCGCCCATCATGACCAGTCACTCTTCTCTATCAAAGTTTTGCAGAGTTTCTTAATTTTTTTATCCTTCGTACATAATTGTACCTGTTATTTTTCACATTTGGTTCGCAGAGAGAATATATAACAATAACATATACACTGTGGAAACTTCAGATACGTGATAGCTATCCGCATCGGCATTGAATGCTTTATTTTTTTTTATTTTGGATGCCCATTGCACTCATTATGTGGGCATGACCTTCCAATTCCTTATTTCCTTCGCAAGCCATTTAAACTTTAATTGATGCAACCCCAAAAATATTCTGCACCTCAGAGTAGTCACGCGATATATACTGAAACAGAAAGTAGAAGTCCCTCTTGGTGGCTCAGGAGAGACTTCTGAAGCTATTCCTAGGGGACAGAGCGCGAGCATGCAGCGCCAGCAAGATTGTGATCGATAAAACCTCAAGGAAGTGAGGTGACGTTCGTGATCGGGCTGGTTTCGTGCGCTTCAATGTTGAAAGAACAACAATAGTAGCTTGCTTGGATAGTAACAGACTAAAATAAACGGAGTTGTCTTCACAAGAATCAAAACGATGTCTCCAGATGATGTGTGTACTCTTTCTTCATTTAAGCAACGGACTAGCCTTTTTCACATGCAGGGCGCTCGAAATGGCCATTTGTTCTTACCAAAAAAAAAAGAGAGATACTACCTTGGAGTCTCTCGCATCGTGTGGACATCTTTTAGGTAGAAGGAAGTTTGTACATGAAAATTCAGAGTACCGACGAGTCACGAGTCCTGAACAAAATACGTGGATGAAGTGAGCCCTGTTTATAAGCATTCAGCCAATAATAATTTCATGCTTCTTGGCAACAGGCCTGTATCTCCTGTACGCACACAGCCAATATGAAGTAAAAGCAGTTCCTTATGCAGGACAGTCACGCGAACTAATAAAGAAAGCATGGTAGTGGAAAATTCACAACTGATAACGCTCGTAAACCGACCACTTCACAGATTATTGCCTTTTGGTTTTACGCTAAAAGACTGCCTGCGTCACAAAGTGTGAGAAATAGACTGCAAACGCCAGGGGAGAACAACAGACCATCAAGCAAAGGAAAATATAAGAGATGCGAAGCACACACTGCTGGGTGAGTTGGTATTTCATCTTAAGTGAGCTGCGCAAAAAAAATGAAGTACAAAAGGAAGACACCTGAAGACAGCGCAGCGCGCTGTGTCCAGGTGTCTTCCTTTTGTATTTCAATTTTTTCCGCGTAACTCCCTTAAGATAGGAGATGCTATTTCCAGTAGTTTTGATATCGACGTCGTGAAATTGAAGTAGTTGAAAACACAACTTTTTGTCGTATTTTCCCATGTCGTTTGTTTACTGTGCTTGTGTGTTAGTTCTTCTTAAGTTTGTATATAAAAATGAAAAAGAATGATTTTTTTTCTCTCCTTGTGTCCATTATTTCTAACTTCAGAGGTTGTTGGGGGTCCTTTTATTGCTAAGATACTCATGCATAGTGTGCAAGATATGTGCCATTCTCATCCGCCATACGATGCCTGCTTGCTGACTTTTATTCCCACTTTCTTCCCCAATATTCCAAAGCAACGCGCTACTCAACGTTACACTTACGTTATAGGACCGAAACTTTAGTCTTTTAGGCCTTCATATTACTCTCGGTCACTAAACATTCTTTCATTGTGATAGCAATTATATAGACACTCCCGGCTAGATTTTACCGCCAACGTCAGCGTCTATGTCATGCACCGGATATGTATAAGTCTCTCTAAATATACAAACGCAAGAAAGAAAAAATCTTTAAAAACATGGGCCCCGTATCTGCATGTTTCACTGCAAATGTCGTCGAAAGGCGATAGCCTTGCGTGTGGAGAGAGTGTACAAAATGTTTATTTCGTGTTCCTTGCGAAAAAAATTGGTGAATTATTTTCTGGAAGCGGTGCGTTAGAGAGTCTAAATCTGTGAAGGGAAGGCGTACGAGTTAATCGAGGCACGTTAGACACGAGCGCTATCTGGCAGTTGTCTTCGAAAACGAAGGAACATGTACGCACCCGCGGAGAAAGATGCATGCATGTCCCGGAGCCGATAAGGAGTAGAACGCAAAGCGACGGGCAGGTGCCACTACAGTGTCGTCTTAGCAAAGCGTTGGAAGCGCTTACTTTTTTGAGCATCGCATTGCACTGTCAGCGCAGCGTGATGAACACCACGGTCCCTAGAATTACTTGTGTGTGCCTTCTCTAGTGTTAGCGAACACATACAAAACATCGACGTGTTGTTTGGGTGCCTCAGATATGCGCAATAATTGTTTTTAATTGACGATTGCTTAAGTATGAACGGTGAAACTTGAGCAATATTGTTGGGTGCTGCGGATATGGTTGGTCGTTTGAGGTATCGTTTGGTGCCATCAGAGGAACGTTACCGTGGACAAACAGACAAATGGACAGACATACAGACAGAAATAAAGACAGAAATCAAGCTTTTGGCATCGTCTTTAAAAGACTCCGGCGCGCTGAATCGAACGTGGGAACTCGGCGTCGTGAGTGCCAGGCGCTAACCACTGAGCCACCTTGAGGTACCTCCAACGTTCAATGTGCGAGCTATTCATATGTACTACTTACCGCTGTTAGCGCGCATGCCGGGGGGGGGGGGGGGGGGGGGAAGGGAACTTTCTCGTTTTCAGCATTATCACCGAGATGGCGCAGTGAGCGCGTGGTGGCTCTCATCTCTCACGCGTATACTTTTGCTCACGTAGAGAATAAGGGGGTGTACGGTCGATCGCGCACCCTTATCTTGCAGTGGAGAAACTCGCACGTCTTGGCTAGCATTTAAGTTCTTCCATAGGAACGATTCTGTTGTAATTACCGGGCGCACAAAGGTCACTGCAATTGCTGCATAGCCTCCGTTTGCGAAAAGGGCGTGCTTTTCAGACACAGCGAAGTAACAACTGAGACGCTAATTCGTGTTAATCTGTACCTTTGAGTACGTTTCGTGCGTCCTTCATGCGTGATAAACGCGGGGCACGTTCCAATCTGCCTGCCATTCTGTGCTAGACCTTCCAATTTGTTGCTATCGCGTCCATTGCACCCCCTTTGCGGCAAAGCTGTGATTTTTTTTCCATTCCGACCAAATAGGCAGATGCGAGCTGAAGCTAAACCCGGGCTGCAAGGTGGAGACGCTGAGGGCTTGCGGTGACGACTTCATACCTTACAAGAAAGGGCCACACCTCCACGAGTCCGGACAAGAGTTTGACGAAGGATGCAAGTAAGCGATTCATCACGCTTTGTTTCGACATATAAAACCGTTGCTCACACATAAATGGTGGTTGTGAATTTCTCGAAGTTTCTAGCAGAAAGGTCGCTAAGCCAAAGAAACTCTGGATCCGATGCCTTCGAGAACTGATCACATGGCTCATTGATATGGTGATGACAGACTATGATGAAATATGCACTTACGGGTAGACCATGATTCTTCTATAGCTCATACGCCTCCAACTTATATGTTTTGGTTATTTATTTATTTATTTATTATTTACATATTTGTTTATATATTTATTCATTTATTAAAATTCGTAGAACATGAAGTTCTACGAATTTTCGAGAGTTTGGAAAAGTGTAAATCCTTAAAAAAACGCCATAAGCAAAGCGTTCAACACCAACATTACAGTAATTCACTGCTCAATCGTAAAAAGCTTACACTGTCTCTAAATAACTACATACAACTTATCAGCCTCGAATGGGCCGCATAATAAGGCGTTCGTATAAATTTCGCATAAGGTCTCGTTTAACCAGAGCCTAAACACAGACGGGATGCGGATGGCCAATTAATTAACGCAGTGATGGAAGCGCCAGCACATTGCCACTTCGCACTAAAACAACGTCACCAACACACTTGAATTGCTTGATTGCTACTCTGAGCTAATTGCATTGTCCAAGCTCGTGAAACTGTTTTATATATGAGTATTTTTAGAGAACCTTGGTAACTTTGAACGATAATCTATCTATCTGTCTATCTATCTATCTATCTATCTATCTATCTATCTATCTATCTATCTATCTATCTATCTATCTATCTATCTATCTATCTATCTATCTATCTAATCTGTGCTGGTGCTTCAAGCCGTCTATCGCTATGGCAGGGCGTAGATTTTTACCACAAAAGGTTTGGTTGATGCAGTCTGTTTTATGTAAAGAGTGGGTTGCTGTCTGTCGAATTTTCGAGAAGAGATTATTATGACCCTGACCATCGTCCGCAGTTGTGGTTTATTTTTTATTCTTCAGACCTAGCACAATGGGTTCACAATTTTCTGACCACAACATTTATTGTGAAGTGAAGTGTACACGGTGGAAAAATGAGTGTTTTTAAAAACTATGCTTGCATTGCAGTGCGCTTGGCTTCTTTTTATTTATTGACTGGTGAGGCACGGAGACAGCAATGTTCCATGCCCATCTTCCGCTTGTTTTCTGAGAAAACTTCAAGCGTTTCCCTGTATGCCAAATAAGAATGATCTGATCTGGAATAGAAATAACGTGATGAACTGTTCAAATATCCATTGTGAAGATGAAGAAAATGAGAAGTACTGGTGTGGGTCAGAGTTTTGATGGGCCCCGCAACAGCTTTCTATGTAGTCGTCTAATGACTTCTGGAGGTGCCACCACCCCCTGTAATGTCAATGTTGCCTTGTGGCACATTGGCACAGGTTTACGAGCTGTCGAGCGAAAGGTGACGCTGTGGTGAGCTGGTTATGTTCAACGTGGTGGCGCTGACAGGAGAGGCTAGGCCAGCGCACAGCAAAATCTAGCGAAGTCTATTTGGAGCTTTGCAGCGTCTCCCGTAGAAGTTCCGTGTGCTGGGTTCATGGGGGATGGCACCACGGGTAGTTGGCTGAAAGTAAAATTTAGTTGAGGTTCAGCGTTGTTCACTTTTTGTTTGTTTCAGCACACAACAGATATGCTTAAGCTCCGTACGCTATTTGCACCTACAAGTATGAGCTACTCCTTATGCGGCCAGGGCAAGACTTCATGTCAGCGACTACACATTTAAAACTAACACTCCAAGAATGACAAGCATTATCTTTAAATACAGGTGTACCTGTGGGAACGTCGACCAGACTGGCTGAGCGATTATCTCTTTCCTCGTACGCTCGATATTGTCCACTCCAGTGGCGTAGCCATGGACATGCTCGGCTACTGGAAAGTCGCGAGCTTTATCACGGCCGTGGCTCTCATATGGAAATGTACCCATGTTCAGTGCAATAACAGTGCGCGTTTAAGATGTCTAGGTCACCAAAATTTTCAGAGCCTCCTATTGCGGCGTCAGCATCACTCAATCATATCAAGGGTAGGACGTAAAACCCCCGGTAATGTACGCTAAAGACAATAAAAATTTCCGAAACCATCTACTACGGCACACCAAACAATCGTATTGCAGTTATCGTGGTTTGCAACCGTATTGTGACGTAGATAGTCGCAGAATTACTCGTATGTACACGCATTTCGCTCTTTCCAATTGCCAACTTTTCTAATGTGTATCGCACTTCACAATGGTTTTGAAGTTTTTGCACAATTTACTGCCTGAAAGCTCCTTGACACGAGGAGTGTACTTTCCATTGTAGAAAGGACAAGACGCAGCTTCCTTGCACTATCAAGTTCATCAACGATTGCACGGAAGGACTGTCGAAAGCCGCGGCACTGGTGGCAGTAAAGGCTCTGGAAGAGAACGTCGAGGCTGCCTGCGCCGTGGGCTCAGATGCGTACAACAGTAAGTCACTTGTAACATCTCTCGTTTTATTTTCCCTGTGTAGAAAGAGTCTTCAAGTTTTACGCTACAGTAAATTGTGAAAACATGGCGAGAAAACCGCGTCTTCTGAAAAGGAAAAACACGATGACAAGTACATAACAAGGTTCTCGCTAATTTGTCGATAAAAAAAAAACTTCAGCACAGGTCTAAAACGCCAACGTATGCGTGCAAATGAACTATGACATCCGACTGGCACTGTATACAAGAATTCACCCCTCTTGTGCGTATTCAAACGAGACTGGAAATTTTTAAAATACAGAAATAATGAAGCGTCATCCTGGTGCTTAAGGCCTGTTGATTCTATGTAAAAATATCCCTTGCGGAATGTGAGCAGTTAGGTTGACTTTGAACTTTCTCTTCGTGTAACAGCCTCTGCCTTAGAGGCAGGAGAAGCCGCCATAGCCCTGGCTAGCTCTTTTGAGGCAACTAATTACGTATTGTCTTATTCTAAAAGAGCGCTCAAAAACTTCGTGGTAGGCTGTGCTCGACCGACCACGGCCAACATCTTCAAAACTAATATAACCAACGAAGCGATATGATACAACTTGTATGGGTGCGCTCTGTCGTGTGGAATCCGGATAGTGAGGCGGCTCACCGTGTAGCTCGAGGTTTAATCAATGGGTAGGTGGACCCCTGAGCCCAACACTTCTCACAGGACAGGATCACCACATAAAATGAAATTACATCTTTTTACAGAGAGAACCGCAAAGAATACGCGGCCCCGCATACTGAACTCACAAGGCAACAGAAAATTCTCTGGGGGTGAACGCAAACAAATTATCTTTCGCGCCCTCACCAGCAGTCTAGAATATACACAGAAGGCATTAAACTACGCTGCCGACATGGCAACTGCCCGAGGGCCACCCAAAACCGCATTCTTTGGGAATGCGAGGGAAACACTCCACCAAAGACATTACTGCTAGCTTCCCTCCTCGAGACGTGGGAGTCACTATATCGTCGACTGAATACCGTGTTCAGGGAGAAACGGTTAACTGGGCCGGGGCAAGCTGCTGGCCAGCACCCCCCACACCACCGGCACACTTAATTCGGCAACCTCGCCTTTCAATAAAGCTGTTTCTCTCTCTTCTTGAGAAGCCATTTTGCGGAATCCCGCTGGCTGCCGGAAGGGTTTTGGTAAGTGAACCTCGGAAATACCCGTTTTGTAGAATACTTGTAGAAGGTTCGCACTTTCGCACAGCCGTCAGTCTCACACTCCTAAAGCCACGTGGCACCGTTACTTTTTGGTCGAGGCCGACTTGACAGCTGTCGAACCGAACAAATCAAAATAAAGCGCAGGATAAAAATAAAAGTGAACAATAAAGTGCTTTTTACGTACACTCTGTTCGCACCGCTAAAGAAGTGTAACAAGCAACGGAAAAAATAGCAACAACAATTGATAATAAAATAACCTAAAGAAAGAAATTGATTAAGGTGTTTTATTATAATAAAATTGCAAATAGAGAGCACCATAAATGAATGTAACAAAATTTATATACCAGCCTCTCTCAAGTTTTCTGCCTCAATGTATAGCCTAACGGTTGATTGATATGTGGGGTTTAACGTCCCAAAACCACTATATGATTATGAGAGACGCCGTAGTGGAGGGCTCCGGAAATTTAGACCACCTGGGGTTCTTTAACGTGCACCCAAATATGAGCACACGGGCCTCCAACATTTCCGCCTCCATCGGAAATGCAGCCGCCGCAGCCGGGATACGAACCCGCGCCCTGCGGGTCAGCAGCCGAGTACCTTAGCCACTAGACCACCGCGGCGGGGCTGTATAGCCTAACGAAAATTGATTGATTTGTGGGGTTTAACGTCCCAAAACCACCATATGTTTATGAGAGACGCCGTAGTAGAGGGCTCCGGAAATTTAGACCACCTGGGGTTGTTTAACGTGCACCCAAATCTGAGCACACGGGCCTACAACGTTTCCGCCTCCATCGGAAATGCAGCCGCCGCAGCCGGGATTTGAACCCGCGACCTGCGGGTCAGCAGCCGAGTACCTTAGCCACTAGCCCACCGTGGCGGCGCGCCAGATGCAAAGACGCGTACATAGGAATGTTCACGTTGCTCGTTATGAAGTCTTCTAGCACACCTGTTAGTGTTGCTTGCCGTGGTCCGTTAATCTGTTTTTTTTAACTGGGAAATAAAATTAAAAAAAAAACACTGGTCATTTGGTACTCCATACGGTTGGTTAAGCGGCAAAGTCGAAACGTCTACGTCGACAATTTTTTTACAGCGAAGTTGCTACAGCCAGCCGTAAAACCACCGTGGTCAACAGAAAAACAATCATCCTCGTGAAGGTATATGCGCCACTTAATGGGCCAAATCTCTCTACTAATCAATGGCTCGCTAAAAATGACGAAGGGAACTGGTAATCCAACGAATGGCTGTGGAGAAATGACGGCGAGTCGAAGACTCCGAGTACGCACAACACGACAAATATTGCTGGAGAAATAAATGGTTCATGTAGAGCCAGAATTTCTACATTGTGCGGTGCTTCTTTGTTGTCGGATTTCGTGTTGTGCGGAGCTCCATGAATTACCCGCGTGCCTTTCCCTGCTACGAGCAACAATTTCTGCAAAACGAGCGTTTTTTTTCTGACGTAGCTTCAGCGCTTGCACGTTATAAAATAATACAATAATTGTAAAAAAACACTGGATTCTCTTCTTTCTCAAACCTCGTATGTCATTCAAGCGCGAGATATGATGAACTGTCCTTAAAACTTTAAAATTCGCATAACAGTGTGAGATGCTTGTAATTACATTCCAGAAAAGAAAATTAAGAAAAAGGTTGTTTTTTGGTGATCTGTTCATTATTCTTTATTTGCGTATATTGAAATATTTATTTATTCTGCAGTCAGTCATGTTCAAATAGTACACATAAAAGTGAAATTATTAGACCCGAAATATATGCACCGGCAATTCGTCTTTGGCATGGTTCATTTTGAGCAAACAAAAACAATACTCATAAAGTTGGTCATGAAACGTGGCACGTCGTACATCGCAGTGCTTTCACTAAAATAATCAGCTGCAGATTTACGCAGCACGTTGGGGTTGATTTGACGTGTTCACTATGTAGAAATTTCAACTGATATTATGCGCAAAGTATCTTGCCCTTCCTTTCTCACTGGTCCGAGAAACTGGCTAAAGCATCTAGCGCCCACAAATATGGAGGCTGCGCCTGAAGGGTATATTATTGAGTTTAGTGATGCAGGAAAGCTAACCACAATGGTGTTGCCAAAGTAACTCGCTTTTGGTTTCGCGTTCACATTTGAACTCTGCTTTTTTGAAGTTGGTGTCGATGGGGGAACCGGAAAACCCAGAATGGGAAAGCAGGGATGGAGGACAACTAAGCGTGATATAACATTGACCAAGATATCTCACCTGCCGCATTTGTATAGGTTGTAAATATGATTTTAAAAATTGAAAACTTCTCTGAATTTCAATTATTGCTTCTGAAACTGTTCGCAACTTGTGCAGCGCCACAACACCATGCCTAAGAAGTGGTTCTCGCAGTGGTGCTTTAGTATGAGATGCCTTACGTATACGAGATGTTTTCATACACCACGCCAGTATAAAATTTAATCGTTCCGTTCATTTCCCGTATCAGGATACCAGAAAGCCATCAAGTGCATGAATTCTCAAGGCGAGAAACTCCATAAGTGCATCTCGAACTTCCAAGGTGTTTTGGAACGTGCAGTGGTGAAGGCACCTTCGAAGGAAGTGATTCATTACACCTGCTGGTAAGTGTTGTTTTTTTCTGCTTTATTCAATGGTGTGGGCAGCACGAAGAAAAAAATACGGCTGCTAACCGCTAGTGGTGCGAAGTCTGGAAAAGCAGTGGATCTGAATGGTCTTCCTTGTTTGGTTTTAGTGGCCTGTTTGTTTGTTTCTCCCTGTCTTTCTAGTTTTTTTCAGTCTCTTGTTTGTTGCTCTTTATTTCTATTTCTGTGTTTATTTTATTCTTCCTCTGACTTTATCTTCGTTTCTTCCTCTCAGTTACTTTCTCTTCTTTACCTTTCTCTATTTCTCTGTCATTGTATCTTTTCCTGTTTTTCATTTCCTTCTGTCTCTATTTTTTTCTCTTTTTTCTCACTTTTTCTTCTGCTTATTTCTCTTTCTATCTCTGCGTTTGTTTTTTCACCCATACAAGCTATTCCATACAACGCCGCATGATTGGCGCACGTGTTTTAGGAGAGAAGCAGAAGATGAAGAATACGCAGAGATCAAGTTGCCGCTGCTTTCACAGTGATATCTTTTGCAGAGGATCGATTGACTTCCTAGCTTGAGCTCCTCCACTGTTGAAAAGAACTCTCAACATTGACGCCTGTATTCCCGACAAAAGAATATAGACGCAACAATGTTTGGCTTAGTGCACGAGATTGTTTTTAATTTTAAGTGGGATAACCACCGTTCCGTGTCAAAACGAATGTGATTTTGCCACCCGGTTTGTGACAAAGGTGACAAATAGTTAGGCAGTGTATATTTTTTACCATTTAATTACTGCTGCAACATGCCACTACACAGGTGGCTTGAACCTCACAGAGAACATCGAAAGTAGGCACATCCTTCCTGCTATTCAAAATAGGCATTACCCTCGACATCAAGGGCTTATGAAAGCCGAAAGCCACTTAAAATAGTAGGATAGTTCGAAAATATGAGGCCTAAACATATGTAAAAGCCAATTTACCACTACTGAACAATTAGCATTAAGTCCATGAGAACAAGAAGATAATGAATATCCTGGTACGTTCTCCTTCAGCCATTGAGGAACCTGGAAAACTACATTCTTTCCGCTACCTCTTTAAGACTCACTCCCTCACTATACCAAGAGTAGACTACAATTTCTCAACACTGCATCCAGAATGAAATTTCCACAGTTCTATCCTAGCCGCCAGTGAAGCATTAGACCTCGGCGGTTGTGGGACATGCGGAACAGTTGATGCTGCCGATATTGCCTCGATGTCAAAAGGCTGGTACTGGAAATTTGAGAACGGTTTATTGGCTGGCAGAGTTGCCCGGATCAGGAACAAGGCGTTAACTGAGTGCACTTGATCTTAATGCATACGATGTTACTAAGGTGCCAACGCGATTGAGACGGTGTCGACATCTGTGTAAGCACCATTGCGGCATCAACTTGCAAGTCGAGCCTTGTCCTGTGCGCCACTTGTTTCTTGTGCTCGCGTTAGAAACTTGCTCTAACCATTCACTCCAACTTGTATACTAAGTGGCGCAGAAAGTCTGACTGATGAACTACATAGCGACTTATTTGGGGATACTTTTGTATATGGTGAAGAGTGAATGAGTATGAGCGCTAAATGATGGGATAGACTTTAAAACATCCACTCATCGCGCTGTAAACACGTTTTGACACCTGTAGTGATGCTACCCTTCGGCCACAAAGCAATACATGTGTGAAGTACGCTGGTTTCCCTACATGACACTCATTTAGTGTTTGCTTTTACGAGGCGGCTTAACGTGATAGCGTGGCTCTGTGGTAGAACACCTGCTTGCCACGCAGACACCCTAGGTTCGATTGTCACTTGGACCGGAGTTTTTCGTGGTTCATTTGACTTGCACCATTCACTGTGTTTTAGGTCACGAGCAAGGTGATCACTTTTCACTCACCATTTACGATGCCGACGCTGAAATTTCTGCCGAACGAGCTCATAAACACATCTCGCAGATATATACTTCCTGTGTGTGAGCGCCCAAGTCCGATTGACAAGAGGATAGCTAGCAAAGTTCATTCGCGTATTCATTGGTCTCCCTCATCTAAAAGACTTGACAGTGCCTTTGCAAATATTGGTACTTGTATATCTTACCAGAAAGCTTCGCGCAGAAAGTAGACTGCTTATTATATACGTGCAGATGGCTGTAGAATGATAATGTAATGGTACTTGCATTTTATTAGGTCAAAGAGAGAGAGTTGGTCCAAGTGGCTTTTACACAATGCAAATCACAATCCACACCTAGGAAGTGTCACTCTATTAATTGAAAGAAGGAAGTACAAATGTAGGAGCTCATATTTTGAGAACTAACCGACATTTAGGCCAAAAAAGCAATAAACATTTCATTTGCAGTAATTATGATATAATTGTGCACTCCTATATAAGCTGATATGATTTCCATTACATACATGTAATCATAATTACTACAAGTACCACTCCCGATACATTTCTTGGCATCGTCGTACAGTATTTCTCATCATTATTGTGATTTATTCCCATATCTATTGCCATAATGATTGGCTCACTTATTCACCGCAGCTCCTATTCTCAAACGGTGGACTGCCTGACTGATGCACTGGCACCATGCAAGAGCGTCGGCGCCCAGGATTATATAGTCGGAATCGTCGAGCAGATGTTTGGTGAGACGCTCAACCTGGTCTGCGGTAAATACAAGAAAGGCTCAGCTGAATGCAAGTCCCTACCACAGCTTCCACGTCTTGGCGCCAACGACCGAAGGCTGGACAACATCGTCGAAATCCTCTTGGAAACCGCCAACACACTGGGGCGGAAAAACTAGATTATCGTCGTTATGTAAATAGATTTGTTTAGCTCACGCGAAAGCAAGTGCGGAAGTGCAACTAGTCGTAAAGGTCACGTGCATTTCTGTGACTTTTACATACCATTGTTTTTTTTCTAGACCTTAACTTGACGAAAAAGGCATATTTGGTATTTCATCCACAGGCACATTTGGCAATCATCCCAGCATTGTGTTCACATTTTGTTTCGTACACATCATTTTAGCGCACGTTACATAGAACAGAGCAAAATTCTCCTGTATCTTCTTGTTTACACAAACAATCCGCGTGTACTCATCTAAGTACCTTAAACGGCATGGTAATCAGTACCTACCGAACAAAAATAAAATATTCTGGATGCACAGGTGAAGAAATATCTTTTAAATATATCATTTCGAAGCCCACAGTACACGAGTACTTATACGAGACAGTTTCCCAAGAGCGTCATTTATCGCTTGTGACGAATAAAATTTTCACAAAGATTGAAGGTTGAACAGTGCCAATGGAAGAAAAGGTTAGCGCTTCTTCCGAAACGAAACTTTGTTCCGCGAATTTCTTTCGCTTGAGACAATAAAAATGTTACTGTTAATTTGATTGGCTTATTGATTTATTGGCCGACTTATAGAATACTTCAACGATTGAGTGGATGTCAGTTTAATAAACAAACAAATAGGTAGTCCACCCAAGGTGAAACAGAGCCAACTATCGCTAATCCGGGTCTTGAAAATCGACCAACTCGATCAACTATTAGCGCAACTTAAAGACGTTTTGTCACAGTGGGGCCAAGGTTATGACACTCGGATGCTGACCTGAATGTCGCAAGTTTCTCTTGTGACTGAGACGGTAAGGTTTCGACAGAGGTGAAATGCTACAGACCCGTGCACTGTGTTGTGTCAGTGCACGTCAAAGGACACCACATCACAGAAATTTCCAAAGTCCTCCTGTTAAGTCTCTCAATCAAATCATGGTTTTCAGATGTCGAACCTCAATATACATGTTTTTTACATAGCTACTACTAATAAAGCTAGAACGTAATTATATTGAAATATATATCATTTCCACAAGTATTCTAGAGAAGTCAAATAGTCTAGTTTTTTTTCTTTGAAGCGTTGCTCTGCTCAACCGCAACGTGGCAATGGGCACAGAGGTGCTTCAGAGCTACTCAGAGACGCCGACTTGGAGAGAAGACTACTTGACCAAATGTTCGTTCCAGAAACAACCCATAAAAAATATTTCAGCCACTCAGCGTTACCGCACACGAAATTGGCGGAAGAAAATGGGCTAACGACATGTATCTATTTACGTAACGTGAATTCACGGCTAGTGGCGACGTAGCATTATCTCCGTTGTTGCTAATATTTCGAACTTTTTATAAACAACTTCACGGAAGAGAATTCGCTGGTGGGCGTGAAATTAGACAAAACATTTTGCTCTCGATCGTGATTTAAAATAATTTCGCTCGCACAACAAAGCGTGGTTTCCGCCGCATTCGCCAGCGTGCTCTAACTAATAGGCACATATCTTTGAGAATGAAGAGACGGATGAAACATGAGACATCCGTATCCCAGAGAATCTTCTTGGCCAACAGTTTCCCTTGGCAGTAGTGTCATTGCTATGACGTACTACGCCGCACTTATTTGGTTAAAGTTAGTTGATAATCCAAAACTCAGTAATAGTGTAGTTGAGTTCGTTCGGCATGGAAGCATAAGGCTAAGTACGAAGTACTTAGTGAGGCTCGCAGTCACGCATGTCATCTCCAAGGCCCTATTTAATCGAGTTTCGGTTGAGGGCTCAGCGGAAGCTCGAAAACGCAGCTGTAGGGCCCAAGGCAGAATGATCTCTCGACGGTTTTCCAATATGTAGCCAAAGTAACACCAACCTTTATGGACCAAACCGTCCTGGTCACCCGTTGATATTCGTTTTTTTTAAATAATGATTGATTTATATGCTATATATGTGGGGTTTAACGTCCCAAAACCACCATATCATTATTAGAGACGTCGTAGTAAAGGGCTCCAGAAATTTCGACCACTCGGGGTTCTTTAATGTGCACCCAAATCTCAGCACACGGGCCTACAAAATTTCCGCCTCCATCGGAAATGCAGCCACCACAGTAGGGGTTCGATCCCGCGACCTGCGGGTCAGCAGCCGAGTACCTTAGTCACTAGACCACCACGGCGGGGCTTTTTAAAATGTGAATGCATTTCTTAGTTGGGCTACGTCAGGCACCCAGTGGCGGCGTCCACGGCGGCGCCCGCACGCCAGCAGGTGTTATTTCTCCGCTCTCCCTCGCTCTGTCATTGCAACAGCTGCGGACGCACGAACTTATTCTTGCCCCTAGTAACCGGTGCATGTGTTGCGAGAGAGTGTAGGAGAGGGTAGGTGCAGTGCATCACCACTCCTTCACTCGCCATTCGCTCTCTCTCCTCCCTGAAGCCAACTCTCCCGTCCACTCGCGCATTATTTGCGACCGTTCGCTGGCTGGGCGCTTCTCAAAAACATCCGGAAATGTGTGCTCGGGTCACTGCCGTGAAGCGCCAATGCAGAGCCGAGAACACTGGCGCCCCGCTCTCCCGTCCGCTCGCTCCTCGTTCTCGACCGTTCGCTGGCTGGGCCCCTCTCAAGGCGATGGCAGAAGTTGGTAAAGGCGAATGTTTGAAGGCAACGGTGCCCTCTCTCGGTGCAAGTAATGCATTCGCATTTCCTCACGATTCCCTCCTGTGGGGGGGGGGGCATTTTTTTCATTTCTAGGTTACATATGCTTGCCTAAATCTTGGTCATTTTTTACTTTCATCTCTTTTTCCCCCTTTCTCCTATCTTCTTTCTATCGCGTTCCTCTTCCCGAAAAAGTAAGTAGGCATAGTGCCTGTCCAGGTGACCGTTGCCAGCTTGTTTTCTCTCTCTTTCCTCTGTGTTCTTGTGTATCCGTGTATACAATTGAAAAAATAAACATCTACTTGGCCGCCCTAAGCAAAGGCAATTGCTACGAGTTCTGTCCTTCGCCCGATCGAGCATGTTTTGAAGAATTTCATTTCCAACAAGCGTTGCATAGCACGTTGCTTTTGCGAAGAACATGACGGTAACTTAGAACAAACGCGATATATAGCTTTGCTTGGCCGACCCCATGGGTGCGTGGAATCTGCTCTCTCAGTGTGGCAGATTTTGTCAGGAAAGATTATTACAATTACGTAAAAAGGCGAAACAAATATATTTGAAAAAAATACTGCAGATAAAATTGTAAAACAAGTAGTGGGTGAATTACTGCAAATAACACACTATATGTGCACATTCCAGCGTATTTATTCACAGGAAAGAGTCACAGGAATGCCAAAACGCAAAAGTGCATTCAATGATGTGAAGTTGGCCCAACCGCAAGATGAGCGCATCAATCAGAAGGAATAAACAACGCCTTTCTGCGATCACCTACACAGGCCATTCAGAAACAAAATAATCAGGAAATGCGTGCTGAGATGCAGCTCTACCGTGGCACATCTCATGCGGCAAGCGCAAGAAGGGTTGTGGGGAGGGGTGTTGTTGGGGGCGTGGTCAAGAGAAGTAATATTGTGCGTATGCACCTTGACGACTAGCGTCCGTGACGGACTCTATGGGGAGGAAAACTTGGAAGCAGTTTCGTTTGTTTTCCGTACAACGTTTCCTTGATTATGACACGTTTTAGCGACAAAGATTCTTAGCCGAGTTCGGTGGCAAGAACAGGGAATGCTGGACTTACAGAACACAATGTTCTTCCGTGCCTTGTGCACCACCGCAATCGCTGTTTTCACGACAACTCATGGTGAGAGCGCTTGCTACGAATGTATGCAAGTATTGCAGCAATTTTGCTCGCTTATCTGACAGCTAGTTGTAAGTAGTATAGAGCGCCTTGTTACATGCTAGAACAAAGAGACTTAATGAAGCAATTTTTAGGGTAATATCACGGGTTGGGTGTCTCAAACGTGACTGCTTACTTTTTCGTTTATTATATTTTATTTCATTACCTTCAGAACGCCGTTGCGTTGAAAGTAGTGATGTTGGTTTCTTGACTATAATTAGAAAATAATTGCCTTACTACACAATCTTCTTTCGAGCTCTCGAATAATCCACCTAAGCTCTAATCGGCAAAAGAGGTGCCGCGGCTCCAAATGCAGCATGAGAGCGAATTCCACGACTTTATTTAAGCCTGAACCATGGCGTACTGTCATTCATAGTAAGTGAACACCTAGTAAGACCCTGAGCACTTAGTACTGCAAAGAATGTGAGCATTGAAATGGCTGCCTTCCATAGTGACAACCTACTTTGAGTCTATAATTGTGAATTGTTGTGATTCTTGTATCAGAGCTTCACGCATTTATGCTGCAACCACCGACGATTGCTCTGCTCTAAAAATGACTGTATTATCCTAAAGGAAGCTGCATAGCTGGCGAAACATCAGGGGCTATTGCAAAGGTGTTTCTTTTTCTTCTCGGAATCCTATAGGTTGTGTTGGGGTGGGCAGGTTTTATTATGATTAGGTAAAATATAGCTGATTAGTTGTTACTGCTAACATGCAATGCCGGCGGTACCCCTTATCCCCCTCCCCTCGCAGATGTTTAAAGGCAAACTCTTGCTATTGTTCCGAGGTCAGACAATCACAATGAACTTCGTGAGATGCAATCCTTTGAAAACTTCTGTCATTCATGGCAGACTACAGGCGTAAGATATGCGTACTTACAAATAAATTTTATTCATTGAGTGGAACCATCTGCTTGGCATCGCACATTCATTTACTACATGTTGTTTGACCTCATCTGTGTCAAAGCCAAGAAGACGATGGAAGCGAGGCTTCAATACAGAATCTTTTTTTCCACAATGCGATGAGTGTAGGTTAGCCGGAGCATCAGTGACCTGCCGTGCGAAATGTAATTTCTCAAAAGCGGGTGCGCGATCGGTGACAAGTGGTTTTGTGCTGTGCAACCTGCACACAATTTTTCATGTAGGCCAATTACCATAACAGTAACTAAACACGACTATTTTCTGCGACTCGAAGGCGGCACTGCAGTCTCTACTATCAGCCTTACGCCGTGGACCACACGAGCAGCTGGTACTAGAGATAGCAGAGATTATACACCACCTAACTGGGAAAGGGCACCAAATTACATTTCAGTGGTTGCCCAGTCACTGCGGAATCATCGGCAATGAACGGGCCGATCAAGCTGCCCGCTCAGCCCACACGGAAAATCATGAACTGCGGCTACCACTTTCTAGGACGGATGCTGCACGAGAGCTCCGCAGACTTGCTCGCCGGCAAACCACATCGCAATGGAATCAGCCGCACTTCAAGCATGCCCGACTGTACTCGCTTGACCCTACGCTAAGTCTTCAAGTCCCGTCGAGGCTTCGCCGAGCAGACCAGACCCTGTTATGTAGGCTGTGGTTGGGCGTTGCATTTACCAACGCCTACGCTTTCCGCATTGGGATGGCCGACACCGCAGCCTGTGGCCACTGTGGCAAGGAGGAAACCATTCAACATGTTCTTTGTGAGTGCCTAGCGTATAGTAGGTGGCGACTATGCCTTCGCAGAGAACTCAACAAATTAGATGATCAGCCTCTGTCGGAGCAGGAAATTCTGCAGTATCGTCAGGATGCGACTTCACAGAAGAGGGCCCTGAAAGCGCTGCTGAACTTTTTGCGATTGACCGGCCTTGCTGAACGGTTGTAGCTGGGACGCCCTTCCAGTGTGTGTTTTCGTTTTTTTTATGAGTGCGCGTGCGTTTTTTTCCCCTCTCTCTAACCCCTCTTTCTTGCCCCTACTTCCCCACCCCCAGCGCTGGGTAGCAAACCAGATGCCAATATCTGGTTAACCTCCCGGCCTTTCCTTTCTCACTCACTCACTCAAACACGGGCCGCTAGCAGTAACGCATTATCTCAGTAATAAAGTGCACTATCAGTGCGATAATGCCGTACCAACTGAAGAGTGCGCCTGCGCGAACTTTATCATGCCGAAACTTTTTACGTAACGTATTGAAAGTCTATCCCTGTACGGTAAACTGCTCATTGTGCTGAAGTTGGGTCACAGGTGAATTCTACAAAACTTTATTGCAGATTTCACGGAGTGCCGTTAAAGGCTGCTATCAGTAAACTGATAAATTGTTTGGAAAAAATGTAAAAGAAACGAAAATTTCTCCTCAAAGTCCTCAGCGTAACAAATTCCCCAATCACGTAAGCCCCAAATGTGATGACCCATTACAGGTTGTGTCATCTGCCATATCTGTGTAAGATAGTGCATAACGTAAACAGGTGCGCTCAAGTTCAATTCATCGAAGAGGAATATCGATTACAGTCAGCCTTCTAATGCATCAAAATCGCAGCTGTCATGCATGTAGCGCATTCTGTCGCAGACGACGTCACTCTGGTGAAGTACGATTACGTTTCCCCTGAGTGACAGCTCTTCGTGGCTTTCGGAGTTTCACGAACTCTGCGCTGGTGGGGCCAGAATGCTTTGTACGACTTCCTATTTTTTAACAGGTGATACGTAGTGATTGGGCAGTGCTGCTTAATTAGGTCTTGGGTTAGGTTATGCTCTCTTTCGCTACTAAAAATCATTGTTGGATTGTCTTGGTGCTCGTACTATCGGGAGCTTGACAGGAACATCTCAAGAACATAGAATAACTAGTATTTTAGTATTGTGAACCAATCACCGGAGTTAGCTTTTCATTTTTCTTTGAAGATCATTATCAGGAAGGATTTCGGGCCATCTGTGCATAGAAATACCATTGACGAGAGCCACCAAGAGTAGCTGAGAAGTCACTTCTTTGTGCCAGCCTTCTAACACTACGGACATGCGAGATAAACAAGCCTGCTAATTATGTTAGCGCTTGCGAAGTATGCGGTTTAAGTGCAAGAGAGAAAGGCAGAGACAAACCTTTCAATAAAACGTCAGTGAATTATGATATTTCAGTGAACTGGGAGCGCGGAGATAAACACAGACACAAAGCAAAGAGGAGGCACACAGCGTGAGTGCTCGTGCTGTGTGCCTCTTCCTTGCTTTGTGTCTGTGTTTACCCCCGCGTTCCCAGTTCGCTGAACAATCATGAATTACCAACTAGCCCACCTTTCCATCCTATTGCAATGTCAGTCAATTACTTCAGGCATGTCCCGTTGCCCCTTGCCGCTGACCGGAATCTTTTGGGACATGGCAGCAGCTATAGGGCTTCACTGGTCATGTTGCGCTGGACGTTGGGGTCTCAACTGCGGAGTAGGGCCTCCGATGATTCTACGTTGTCGAAACAATCGTTCTGACTAGGACATGCCCACACCATGTGAACCAAGCTTTGCCACCTCATCACAAAATTTACTCTGAGACCACAAAACTACGGGGTGCCACTATAGCTGTAAAAAGCGGGGTTCGGAAAAACCCCGGTTTCTAACTTTCGCCACAAAACTTGATTTTTCTTACTGAAAGAGTTGTCCGTTCTCGATTATACTTGCCGATTTAGCCTGTAGCGTGCGGCTATTTCATGGTATGTGCGCATATCCTCACGTTTTGTTCGGTAATATGGGAGGTTCCAGGGATCGGCCAGTAGGTGAGACATCGGGCGACCGAATGAGCCTCCTCGTTCCCTTCAAGTTCCCGGTGAGCTGGAGCCCAGATGAGCAGAATAATCTCTCTTGGTACTGCTACCATGTCTGATATATGAACAGCAGTCACCGTCGCCCCTCCCGATTTATAATTGCTCGTGGCGTTCCTGGAGTCACTGATCACCACCCTGACCCAATCACTCAGGTACTTTATTACACCCTCGAAAGTGTCTGTTGCTCATGACAAACCTAATCAGGTATGTAACGTAACGACGGCCTCTGGGGATAGCCGTACAGTACGAAGAGGAGCTTGCGACCATCTGTCGGTAGCTTACCATTCTCTAGCAACGTGGCGCATGAACGTCGGCACGATTTTGCCTTGCGGGTGCAAAGCCGTGTTACATCGCGGCTGGGAGCAGATCACTATTGTGGCTTGAGTGGGGCTAGGACAGGTTTGACTTCACGGGTCAAATGTCCCTATTGCACCCCCCTGGCGACGCCCATGACGTGGTGCCATATAGCTGCGAGGCTCCGAGGGAGTGTAGCTGCTGGTCTCGCTTATTTACGGAAACAGAAGGGTAGCTTATCACTTTGCAGAATAGGATGTACAAAAAATAGACCTAGAGTAACGTTTAAATGCTAGTATTGTTCATCTTGTTAAGTTTACTGTCTGGATGGCTACGTAGTAGTGAGAGAAAGCTGCTCCGCTGCCACGGTTGCGGCGAATCAGCACCTTCAAGCCCATAGTTTGCATACAACAGTAAAAGTTTTTATGCATTATTTTAAAATTTAAAGCCCATCGCCTTCGGTGTTCTCTCACAACTTATGCCCGGACGGTATGTATGGCTGTTTCAATAATAATCCAAATTGTCTATCTCTTGCATAACTCCCTAACCTCTAGCTAAGTGCCTCGGTTTGTTGTGTGTACTGAATATAGTGTCTGAATAGGGTTGTTGCAGTACTCTTTACCTTTGGTGTCATAGAAGTAAGGCATATTCGTGGTGTGTGCTGAAGGCCATGCTACTCATGGCAATCGGATACACTTGTGCGAAGCCTTACAGTTAATCCTGGGTGATGGCCGGAAGGCCTGCTCTGTTAATGAGCAGGTAAAAAGAAAATTTCGAAAATGCCGAGAAAAGGTTATTTCCAGGCTGTGAAGGTACACGTGATGCGGGAACGCATTACTTTTCTTTTGTACTAAAGTTTTGTTGACAACACGCAAAAAAAAAACGTAAATCTGCGTTTTATTATTGATGACGTGAACTGTGGGGATGAGTGGAAACGTTGGCTTGGGGTGCGAGCACTTGTTTTATGTTATTCGGTATGCAATTCAGTAAATACTTTACGCCAGCTTTCCTGCGTACTTCTGCCCCATCTGCCCCATGGAGTGACTGAATATCATTTGCTTTGGGTGTTAGAAAGCGCCTACACTTCTATGGTGGCTAGTCTGGAGGCGGAAGGCTTTTCCATAATTTGATTTCATTTTAGGAGTCGCCGGTAGCATTGATACTAATCTGACGAAAATTATTGGTTTGGGGGCAACAGTGCCTCGCATGAATGTCTGCAATTGGGTGGCGCTGCAAGCGACAGGCACTCGGCGCAGCGTCTAAGCTGACTCGATTAGAATGCACAAGAAGCCGGTTAGAGCTGTATATTAGTTATACGATGATGCAATGCCACTTGAAATCTATGCCTGGATGGTCTTTTAGATGCGAAAGGTTCTTGTCAAAGTCAGAACATTTTATTTCGAGAAGCCTCAAAATTATACTAGCTGGTAGTGACGAGTATTTGAAATGCAGCCAACTCCGACACAACGAAAGAAAGACCCGCCGTTGATTCGTCGTTGACTTCCCCTGTTCTCAAAAGCACCACGGAATCTATAGTAATTCCAAGCGCAGTCTCATGGGGAAAATTTTACTGATGGTCACCGTTTTGAGCACTTTCCGTCAAGAAGTTCCTAATCTGACAACTTGCAGTTTTTGCTAGAGTGCATCGCGAGATTCTTGTATGAACAATAACCAAAGCGAATTATATGCCGCAGCTGAGCCTGAAGAGCTTCCTTTCAAGCCTGGCTGCACGAGGAAACAGCTGAATGACTGTGGCTCGGATTTCCTCATCTACAGCAACGTCACGCGAGTGCCTTCTGGCGGACAAGAGTTCATCGAAAACTGCGAGTACTAACATGACGTGTTTTTTCCCCTTGAGACTTGATTGTCCGTTCGGCATGACGGCAATTCTAAGATATGTTATGAGCAAGATGTGTAGAAAATAGTAAAATATTTCGAACTTTTCTTAGAGAACACACGATTGTTTATTTGATAGAGTTTAGGAAAAGATGTTAGTGATTTGGAGTACTTGGTACTCTACTACGGGAGAGCATAAAGCCGTCCCGTGGGCCTATACTTAATAAGACATGTGTCAATAAAATTATGACCTGGGCAAGTAAAGACAGAAGGCCTGCTTACCCGAGAAATAGACACTACACATTCTCTGTTAGCCAGATAGGCCGGCTACGTTTATAGCCATACTATTATTGTCATAAAAACGCATGTCGCATACTGTGTTGCAATTTAACCGAAAACTAACTATCCAAATGTGCTACATAAATTATCATTGACTGTTTATTCATTGTTGTTTTAGCCAAAGTACACAGCCCAATACACTCGGAATTTTATAACCTAACGACATTTTAAGATGCATTATAAGAAAGAGTTCTGCCTAGAGGCTTTTTCTGCTTTGCAGCAATCGATGCCATGGCTGATTGGTCACATCAGCACTACTCGTTAGCTGTAGAGTGAACTGAAATTTTTGAGAGGGTGCTGCTAAAGTATGGTTCATAGTTAAGTATAATTGAAAATCGCTGTTCGCATCTAAATAAATTGATTCCTGTCACATGCATTAGTATATATGAACAAATTTTACGAAGGTTTAGATCACCCGTGTCTTCCGAAAACACCATTACGAATCAGCTATGATGCAATGACATCGACCGACACCCGGATACACTACACAGTTTTGTGAAGGACACAATGTATTACTCTCAGCTTACCGTGCCCTGGTCATATGTAGTCTTTATGGCAGCCAATAAAAAAAATTCAGTTCTTTCATTAGTGAGATTTCAATAAGTATAACAGGACAATATGACAAACCGACTAATGAAAGCTGTTCAAACTGTAGAATCACCTGCTGCTCAGAAATCTGTCTTCCACGAGGGTTAACAAAAAATGGGGCACCTTTCGAGAGTCTAGGCTTTATGCTAGAAGCAATAAAATAAACCCAACAGATATTGAGGACGAGGAAAGCATGAGAACACAAATTGTTGTTTTTACGAAAAATGTAATTATGCCTGAACGAATCATTTTATGCGGACTGATATTACATATGACGGATTCTAGTCCCACCTAACATAAGGCTTCCTGAAGATTCTCCATTGAGCTACGTCACTAGGTAAGATTTACCGCTGCGCATATGTAACTTACATCCCAAAGTTATCATTTTTTTTTCGGTTGTGTGGAAGAGAGGGTGGGAGAGTGGTTTGGAGAGAACAACTCAGCATTATGTCGGATGGTGAATTACTGCAGGCACCTATCCACGCAGCTGTCCTGTGCTTTACAATTCTCGAAGGAATGCTTGGACGGACTTCCGAGAGTGGCTGCCCTTCTGAGCTTGCAGGCCATGGAGGAAGCCTACGAGGCTGTATGCACTGAAGGCACCGAACTGAACCAATGTGAGTGAAATTGAGCAGCAGATCTTGGGAAGCTAACAGTTGTGTAACCTTACGCGGTAATCAGTTACAATGCTGCAGATAACTGTTACCTTCTGGCGGTAACGGAGAAGGTGCAAATAGAAATTAAAGCACTGCCCAAGACAGCACAGAAGGGTAGAGTGTGATGAAGTAAGAAATATTGCAAACAATAAACGAAATCAGATGATTGAAAGCAGATGTAACGGCTGATCTCTGGCGAAAGAAATCTTCTGCCTCTCGAAAAAAAAATGACGATTGTTCAATTGATAGCTGTGGAACAACACCAACATAGACACAACTTTCACTTCAAATGTAGTCGCTAAGCGCGAACGCTTCGGCGTATACCGGAAGCATGGACATAAACAAAAAATATCAAGTTGAAAGCGGTGGTGCGCTTGTCTACGCACCTACAACTGTGTCACCCACATTGCTTTGCTGCGCTTTGTATGACGAACTATAGATATTTGAGCCCCAAAAAGTTAAGGCACCTTCGCACTAGAAGTACGATGTCTCAAAGAAAGTGAAGAGCTTCGAGGCCTTCAGTGCTTCTTTGTGTTTTATTTTTTTTATTTTTCTTCTGTTATATATGCTTTTGTATTTCTTTTCGTCTGTGTTTCTGTTTGTTTCATTTCTTTCATTCCTTCTGTGTATTCCTTTCTATTTCTCTTTATTTCTCTTTTCCATTTTCTCTCTCTCAGTTTCTTGCTTTCTCTTTCTGTATCGCCTACTTTTTTTTTCTCCCTAGTTTCTATTTGTCTATCTTGCTACGACATGCAATACTCTCCCTCCTTTTCTTTTTCGTCTTCCTCACCATAGCCCTACGTACGAAAGAAGGGGGCAGAATGCCACTCCCTTAGTCATATCGGAGAAGGGGCAGGGAAAGTTTGCCCTGGGTTTTGTTAATTGGGGAACAGGAGGGGGAAAGGGTGGTGCGAGGAACCCTTCCCTGTGAAAGGAGACCCTGTGCATGCGTATGCTCCCCTCCCTCACTTCGAGATGGAAAACAGCTTATGGTGGAGCTCGATCTGGTGTGTCTGCGGCGTGACCCCCCTTACTGCGCATGCTCCAACTCTTCCCCTCGTCGAGTGAGCGTGAGGAGGTCGGAGAACCCTCTCCTCGCGTGAGTGACGCGAGGAGGTGGGGTGGAGGGAGTGGTGGGAGCTGCACACACCGCAAGATAGCGTCGGCAGGGAACTGCTATAGATGAAACACGGGCTTGACATGCCCAATAGCAACGGCCGTGTCTGCAAGCAAACCCCGCCATACACAACGCCGACGTTGAAGCCAAGCGTCAACAAGGAGCCAACGCGTCAGCTGCGGACAGACGACGCGTGTACAACGCCCGTGCAGAGCGCCTTGCTCGACAACTTCAACACCCGACCTTCAACGATGCAAACTCCAACAAAATTACACCACCTCCCACTAAAGAGGACCATGGGGAAAGGTGAAGCAGCATGCGGGGTGCACGCAACGTTCACATTGGTTTGACAGGTGTTTACGGCAACAACACGTTAAGAACATTACCTATACACCAAGAATAACACGAAATACGCATTATTTACGGAAATATAACGGAATCACCAACGCGAACAGATTACAACGATACAATATTCAATTCAATCCTTAACAAGTCTAGCTCTGCTGAAAACCGCATTTATGGGGGTATGATAGGGCAACCCTCCCAAAACTTGAATGAACAATTTTGGCACTGAAAACTTTACTGTACTCTGGTGAACAAACCCGTGGCAGCCCGAGGACGACCGGCCGCTTCAAATGGTTGAAATACCGCGCCGAAGTGCGCCAGGTGCCCTCGTGCGTAAGCATCAGACGCACGTAAAACTGCATTTTTTATTTTCAAATAGCATTTTCTGTAAATTTTTCAACCTAAATGTACCTTTTCTCAGTAAGTATTGAATTGATTTCGATTAAGCTTTGCATGCGTGAGCTACAGCTATATCGGGAGGAGATTTTTTCTACAGCGTCCTTCATAGAGCCTTTAGGTAGTCTATTGTCCTAATGTCTGCTTATATAAGTGCTGACCTATGATAACTGGCACGATGTTTAATTATTATATGAATTATACAAACAGGTAAAACAGTAATTCGTCTGAACATCGATTCGTGATTGTACAAATTGAGCGAATAAAGACCCGCCCTTTCAATAGGAATGAAACCACCGTGGAATGCTGCGGCCTACCATTTCTGAAATGAGGATGGTATTATGACGATTAGTGAAAGGAAATAGAGGCAGGCACATACTGAATATTATTGTCATTAAAAAAGTATTTATTGTTTAGCGGTTGCAATCGAGCTGTCCATTACGTCGTTTTCAGCGAAATTTCAGCTGAGGTTCACTAAATCAACTTTACACCTCTACAGAGTCACTGGGCGAGTGACTTTGTTAGTTCTACGCAATACTGTACACACTTGTTATTGTGCGGATAAAAGTTAACGACACGGCTGAATGTGGTTACATTCTTTTCCGTAGTTGCAGAGATAAGGTACATTGAATAAGTGAACCTCTTTCAATATTTGCGAGAGGGCCATAGGAAGGATGACCAACCTAGGCATACAAAAAGGAATACATTTGACACCCAGCGGAATGTTGTGTGAGTATGTACACATTTTACGGGAATACTTGCAGCCGTATCTACAACATTACGCTAAAACTTATATATACCATTTACCCTACCATACCCCCTTAAATGAAATAACAAAGTATAAAAATAAATGTAACAGAAGTCAACAAAAAGTAATCGCAATAATTACCTTAATGTCACTAAAAACAATCCCAAGAACTGCGCCTAACTGCGGAGGGTAACACATCACCGATTAAGCCTCTCCTCTTGCACCTCGCCGGCGCTTCGCCGCCACATCTGATGGATGAAACAACCTGATAAAACTCACTGCAGAAGACGCGTACCTTGACTATCGTGACAATCAGGAAGTCGGCAAAGATCAGCAAAATGTAACGCACGTGTCCGCATATTGTTTGTAACAAGATTATATTATTTTCGGCAAAACCCTACAGGCTTACCTCAAGCACTCACATCTTTGATGTTTTCTGTAAACAGAACGGTTGGCATAAAGTTCCCTTTAAATACGCTAGAGGAAACTCTGGCGATAGTGTCTATGAGTTCCGATATGCACGCCGCTTCAGCGAGCACGACAGTGATGGGTATAGTACCAGGATTTGTCAAATCTTCGTTCTTAATTCTGCATGGCTCCGTTTTGCTTTGCGTGGCTTGCAGCTGCTTTGTCACGAAACAAAGGTAAGAACATGTGCAGCAGTTCCACTTCAGTGCCTTAATCTTTCGGGCTTACCGTTTCACATCGGCTCACGAAGGTTGGTAGCATCCGTTATTTCATTCGGAACAGAATGAACACCCAGCAATAAACAAAGGCACAAGTGTGTTCAGAGCCCGCAAGCACGAATACTAGGTAAATCCCTGTGCTACCCACAATCGCGATCGTCGCTGAACGATCATAGCGCCAGATTCTGGTCTAGTTAATTTCAGTAAATTATGTGGGGGAGAACCAGACGCACTTGAAACTTTAACTATATACACTCGCTGCGCACTCTCTCAGGTTTTACAGTAGTGAAATTGCCATACTTTTGTTTTTCTTTCCCGTAAATCTTAACCGTCACTCTTCACACAATTCTTAATTTCTGACCTCTCGCTTTCTCGCAGTGTACTACAAAGGAGTTGCGTGCCTGAATGAAGCCGGGAATGAGCTTCACCATTGCATGAGCAAGATGCGCCACGAAATGGAGATCGGCGTGGTTGCTGCACCCAGAAAGGAAGTCGTCCACTATTCTTGTTGGTGAGAAAAGCATTCAACCAGTGCAGTGCAGCAGTGCTTGCCTTAGCCAGAGTTCAGTGATCCAACCACCTGTTGACGCGAAAACATTGACCAGTTCGTTTTGCGGAAATTCCGGTTCAGGTATAGTCGTCGTTGGTTGAGAGCAAAAAAAATAATATCTTCGTCTGTGAGCAAAACTTTGAGATATATGCCTTTGAAATAATGCTAAAACATTAGTTTGAATGAGCATCCAGCCATAGGTTTCTGCGTGTCAAACATCTGTTCGACGGCCCAACCATTAAGTTGCTTGAAACTCTATGGCCTCTTCAGAGCCGGAAAAAAAAAAACACTACGAATATCACGTAATGCAACGAGTCTCATCGACGCACATATAGCTGTGTACCAAAAACATTGGTTCCATCGAGGCGTCATGACATACGAATGGTAAAATGAGTGAGAAGATTAAAGGCCCACTTATTGTGAAGCTGTAAAACAGTTAACCACGAACATTAGAGAACGCATCGACAATGTGAACAGCTGCCCAGGTTCGCATGTAGCTATATCGACGCGTAGCAGGTACTTTGCTGAGTGGCCAAAGCAAGAAATGTGGCGTTGTGAAACTTCACAACTGTAGATGTCGTATGGAGACTGTGATATTTTGAGACGGCCAATAATATGCGTGCAGTCATTCTTTTGGTCATGGAATAATTCTTTTGGTCATGGAACAAGAAGCGAAGTGCGGCTAGTGATTGAGGAGGTCACGGAAATGGGACCAGGTTACGCTATCGTGCTCCATTCTTGAGGAGAAGGTTGGGAAGCTTCCAAATTTAAAATACGAGGCATTTTTCAAGAGTGGCATCTCTAACCATATGTTTCATTCATTGACGAACAATGCCTTTCGCTCACTTATATCGCTCCTATACAGGCATTGACAACGTGTCTACACAGATTTGTGGAATTTAACGCCCCGAAATCACCATATGATTATGAGAGACGCCGTAGTGGAGGACTCCGGAAATTTAGACCACCTGGGGTTCTTTAACGTGCACCCAAATCTGAGCACACGGGCCTACAACACTTCCGCCTCCATCGGAAATGAACAACGTGTCTCAAGCAATGGATTAAGGCATACGGTTACAATATAGGCGATACCTCACATCTTTCTTGGACAACAAGCGCAATCTGAAACGCGCACATCCACATTACATACAGCCATTATATACAGTGAACCAGCACGTGCTTTAGTGTCTTCTGAAAGAGCACAATAAAATTTATCCGTCTATTTGTTCCTCCCAACAAGCAGACAGACAGACAGACAGACAGACAGACAGACAGACAGACAGACAGACAGACAGACAGACAGACAGACAGACAGACAGACAGACAGACAGACAGACAGACAGATAGATAGATAGATAGATAGATAGATAGATAGATAGATAGATAGATAGATAGATAGATAGATAGATAGATAGATAGATAGATAGATAGATAGATAGATAGATAGATAGATAGATAGATAGATAGATAGATAGATAGATAGATAGATAGATAGATAGATAGAATGATTGATTGCTTGATTCATTGATTGATATTGTTACCGGTGTCACTGGTGTTGTATTGCATGGTTTGGCTGACATTCTCAGTGTATGAGTATTCTCGGCTTATCCGAATGCCTTTCCTCAGCGTCCGAGGTGAACACGCAAGAAGCGCATGCATGTTGCGGCAGAGGAGCGTCAGTCGGTGGTATACAGCTATACGAACCTCAGCGTTAAAGAGCTCGTTTCTCATACATTCCTGTGTCAGCGTCAGTTACGGCGTCGTTGGTTGTGAGTGAAAAAATCACCATACTCTTCGTGACCGAAAAATCCAAAAAGATGCTAATAAAATGGAGAATAGAAATTTTCGGATCCGAGTGATCAGGGTTACACATCATATGCTTCTGAAGTGAATGTTGCACCGCAGAGCGGTGCTATTCTTTGAAATTGCTTTGAAAAAATATGCGCTGGGTGAATGCCATGCTTTGAAAAGATTTTCTTTAACGCATGTCATATCATGCGACAGAAGCTTAGAACCACACCAGGTTCAAAGACATACAAACAAATTACGTACCGAGTTGGTGTTGTAATGGTCCACTAAATATTTAATGTGCTGACACATACTGTATCATCATCAGCAGCAAAAGCGTAAACCAAGTGTGCAGCTTCGTAAGTTCGTGTGTTGCCTTGCATAAGCATAGAGGATCGTTCACTGACTCGTAAAATAACTCTGATGTAGTGGCCACTTAAATTTGCTTGCGGTATGCATTCTAAAATAGCTTGAAAAGGCCAGTGTTATGTGAACAGCGTTCGAGGTAAGTCATGGTTAAGGTGTGCAAAAAGAATCGATAGACAGATAGATATATAGGGTTTAACGTCCCAACACAATCAAATGAATATGTGAGCCACCGTAGTGGAGGGCTCCGGAAATTTCGACCACCTGCGGGGCTCTTTACGTGCACCCAAAGCTGAGCACACGGGCCTACAACATTTGCGCCTACATCGGAAATGCAGCCACCGCAGCCGGGATTCGATACCGCGACCTGCGGCTCAGCAGCCGAGTACCTTAGCCACTAGACCACCGCGGTGGGGCATGCAAGAATAATCAAAACCAGTCGAGGCCTGATTACGTTATCACGCTCCGCTCTTGAAAGCGAAGCTCAGGCATACGCCAAGTTTTTTGCGTTGAGGGTACCGAATTTTCTGACAAATCAGAGGCTAAGTTAATTTTTGGTAAACCAGCGTGCAGAGTAGTGGTATTTGCATGATTCATTCGTACATCAGCTATGAAAATTGTCTGTTTACGCTACCAAATTTTGCCACCAATAAGTGGTATATAGCACCGCTTCAAGAATAAAAAAGAAAATTTTGGGTAAACTGCGCGCGTTGTTGGGCTGTTCCTGTATCTTCTTTTCTGTTGTCGTTTGTCTACATTCGCGCCCATCAGTTTACCCACAATTATGAACTAACTTGCCCATCTACAAGTTTTAAAGAAAAGAAAGCATCGCGTTGTGTATTGCCTCACGTTATCAGCAAAGGCTGCGAATATGAGAGGGTAAAAGCTTAGCCCAGCCACTACCAGTCAAGTGCCTACCGACTATTCCAATACTCGGTCTTGCGCCTCTTCATGGAAGCGGCACCATTTGTTTCTTTTTTATTTCTTACCCCTTACGAGTAACTCGAAAAAATACAGTCAGTGCTTGATATTCGTACTTGCACGCTAATTATGTTAAGTAATGTGATTATATGCGTTCACCTGACTATTGTGAACACAGAGCCCATCTCCTTCGTTTCTTGTGCAGTGCATTCTACAAGGTCCAAGACTGTTTCGACGACGCCTTGTTGCCGTGTCCAAACGCAGCAGCGAAGGAATTCATGAACACCGTTCTGGACAAAATAGTCGGGGAAGTCTTGAGTCTCGTTTGCGGCAAATACTCGAGGGGATCCACCGCCTGCATGGAGCTGCCAGGGTTGGCACCGCCGTACCCGAGTAGTCTTGGCAGCAGAGACCTTTTCGAACTGGCCATAGAAAATGCTGCCATCCTTGGTTCAAGGGGGTCTTGACATTTCGTAGCGGTGAAACGAATGTCAATGAAGCATACTGTTTTACCGTTTTGCTGTGCTGTGTGGACTTTGCGATAATCTCATCTTCGTAAATGAATTACAGGTTAGCTCTTTTACCGACCATGGTGATGCACTAATAAAGGCAATATTGCTGTAATTAAACTGGTCGTGTTGCACTAAACTGTAAATATATAGCGATTATATTGTTGCTGAAGTGACCTGGAACGCCTAACCACAGTTCCTAATGGCTGACAGTTTTAATTTCCTGTTTAGTGTTTCTAGACTTTACAAGAATAGGGGAGTTCTTGCAGCGGCCGCCTCACCATTGTTCAGAAATTGAAGCCCAAACAGTGTCAAAACACTTGGCGCTGCAATCGTTATTCTACGTTTTGTCGTCATCTTAATGCGCAGCTTCACCAAAGCGGTGCAGAGGTAACATACCGGCTTTTAACTCGAAAGGCCCTCGTTCGAATCGCAGCTGTACACTCTTAACTTGGTTACACCTAGGTTCCAGCAAGTAAGCGGAAGCTTTTTGCAAAAAAGTTCCACTTATTTAGGTGCAGCTTCCGTTCCACATCACGCTTCGATTATGATGGAAAACGCTCCAGTGATCGGCAACTGGGTCCTGCGTGCTGCAGCGTTCCACTAATTCAGTACCTAGATTCTAAGAAATTCTTGCAAATCATAGTTAGCATCACCCATATTTTTGCATAAATAAACAGGTATGTTACCTAAATGAGACAAGTAAGCAGTAAATTTTCGCATTGATTTTATGCATATATTAACGGACGAATTCGGGGTCACTTTTTAGTATATTATGATAAGAATATTGAAAACAGCTCCTTTACAGCAGTATTGCGCAGGTATGTTGTCACGCAACACGCCGGTATTTGTGCTCCACGAAAACATGGTTCCGTCCGTCCGTTCGTTCTTGCTTCCACCCGTCTGTCCATCCATCCGTGCGTGCGTCCGTCCATGCCTCCGTCAGTCCATCCTTGCTCCCGTCCGTCCGTCCTTGCGACCATGCTTCTGTCTGTCGGACGGAAGGACGCACGGGCAGAGACATGGACGCATAGACGGACGGAAGGACGGAGGCACGAATGGACGTATGGAAGGGCAGATGGAAGCAAGAACGAATGAACAGATGGAAACACGGACGGAAAAACTGATGGATGGAATAACAGATGCATGAATGGACGGACAGATGGACGGAAGCATGGATGGACTAACGGATGGACAGACAGAAATACGAACGGATGAATGCACGGCTGGATGGACGGATAGATGGATGGATGGATGGAAGCACGGACGGACAAACGGATGGATGCATAGACGGTTGGACTCACGGATGGATGAATGGCCGTTTCGCCCTACTCATCATCATTCACTCCCTGGATATGCTGTGAATACCACGAATGCCATCTAGTTGTATTATTACGAAGGACATATACACCCATCGGCAGAGCGCAAGCCTGTGTTGTAGCAGTATGAAAAGTCTTGAGAGCTAGCTGTGACTCGGGAAGGGGGCAAGTTTTACTTTATTGCACCCCTGGCCGATGCAAACTACTGCAGTTTGTCACATTAATGTTTGTTAGATGAGAGTAACATAATCAAGTGGTTAAAATATTACCACACAGGGACATCACTCGGGTACACGAATATAACAAACAGCTATAACTGACTGTATATACCGCGCTAAGGGTCACAGATATTATGTCACAACCTTTAGTGAATGTGAACTAAACAGCGACAGCATGCTTCGCTCATGAATTATTGGTAAGCAGTCCGCTAGGCACGTGCTTGTCGTGATCAGTAAACTACGTATATTGTCACGCGCTAGGAGTTTGAAGAAACGTACAAGTGGGCGCGACTGTCAAAATCTGAGACACAAAGAAGGACGCCTCCGCTGGCACGGGTTGCTCGTCTTCGTCTTCGTTCACTGGCACAGAACTGGCTCATGGTTCACTGGCACAGAACACCAGGTGGCATTACTCCTCCCCCCAAGAGAGCATCCACCCCATTCTCAAGAAAAGTGTGCACAGTAGTGGGTCGAAGTAGGCAACATAAACAAACATTAAACAAAGTAGCACACGGGAAAATATGCGTCCTAGGACTGACAATCAGAAATATACGGCATTCACTGTTCACATAAAGAGTTCACTGGCACACGGAGAAAATTCGCATCCCCGCGTAAAGCATGGTTTTAGGCGTGTACAGTCTGTGGGTGTGGTAACCTGCGCTGGGCATGGTGAGCCTCCGTCTGGAACCACTTCGTAGTTGACGTCACTCACATGTCTGAGTACTGCGTAGGGTCCAAAGTTCTTCCTCAAGAGTTTCTCACTGAGACCTTGCTGCCTAATAGGTGTCCAAACCCAAACTTGGTCACCAGGTTAATAATTAACTTCTCGATGGCGGATGTTGCACCACTGTGCATCTGCGCACTGTTGAGTTCTGATGTGCACACGGGCCAGTTGACGTGCTTCCTCAGCATGCTGAATGCGCTCATTGATGTCGGGGGCTAATTGGTCGAACTTGTCGATGTCCTCATACGGAATCATGGCGTCTAGCATAGTTCTGACATCTCGACCATAAACGAGCCGAAATGGCGTGAAGTGTGTAGTTTCCTGCGTTGCAGTGTTGTACGCAAATGTTACGTACAGCAGGATGTCGTCCCACGTTTTGTGCTGCACATCCACGTACATAGAGATCATGTCGGCTAGCGTTTTGTTTAGCCTTTCTGTTAAACCATTACTCTTAGGGTGATACGCAGTGGTCTTTCGATGGGTTGTATAACTCAACCTGAAGATATCATCCAAGAGCTGCGCTGCGAATGACGTCCCTCGGGGCGCCATGCCGTAGCACAGTTTGATGCATGAAAAAACTGGCAACTTCAGATGTGGTCCCTCGTGGCAATGCCTTCGTCTCAGCGTAACGCGTCAAGTAATCGGTTGCGACAATAATTCATTTGTTGCCGGAAGAATACAAAGGAAACTGGCCTAGGAGGTCCATTCCCACTTGATCAAACGGTGTAGGGGGTATATCGATCGGTTGCAGATGGCCTGCAGGCGTTAAGGGCGGTGTCTTGCGACGCTGGCATTCACGGCATCCCTTCACGTAGCGTTTGACACTGGCAGACATTTTAGGCCTGTAGTAGCGTTGTCGCACGCGATCCATAGTTCTTGAGAAGCCCAGATGGCCGGATGTGGGCTCATCATGGCAAGCTAATAAGACGTCATCGCGGAGGGCTTCAGGCACGATGAGAAGATAAGATCTATCACCAGCACAGATGTTCTTTTTGTATAAGACGCCATTTCGAAGGCAAAATGATGGCAACGTTCGCAACATCGGACGAGGATTGGGCGCGGTGCCACCTTCTAAGTGATCTATAATCATTCTTAGATCGGCGTCATTTCGTTGATGAGACATCAGATTCGGCCCGCTCAGAGTTGCTACGAAGGCGCCGTCCTCTTCTGCGCTTGTACTGGCGGATTGAAGAGGGGCTCGTGATAGCGGGTCGGCGTCTTCGTGCTTTTTGCCTGACTTGTACACGATGGTGACATCGAATTCCTGTAGGCGCAGACTTCATCGTGCTAATCGCCCTTAAGGGTCTCGTAGATTGGTCGACTCAGCACAAAGCATGATGATCAGTCACTACTTTAAATGGTCTTCCATAGAGGTATGGCCTCAATTTTGTAATTGCCCAAATGACCGCGAGACATTCTTTCTCTGATGTAGAATAGTTAGATTCTGCGCGAGACAGTGTGCGACTTGCGTAGGCTATTACCCCTTCAATTTCGTTCTGTCGTTGTACCAAAATAGCTCCAAGACCAATATTGCTGGCATCAGTGCGTACTTCTGTGTCCGCATCTTCATCGAAGTGGCCGAGCACGGGAGGGGAAGAGAGCTGGTGCTGTAGTTCCGCAAAAGCAGTCTGCTGTTCGTCAGCCCAGGCAAATGGTGTGTCATCACGCGTGAGGCGTAATAGTGGCTCCGCAATGTCGGAAGAAATTTTCAATAAAGCGCCGGTAATACGCACACAGACCCACAAATCGTCGCAGACTTTTCTTGTCTGAGGGTGTTGGAAAAGCGGCAACGGCAGCAGTTTTGTCAGGATCAGGCCGAACACAACGGCGCTCACGACGTGACCAAGAAACTTTAATTTTTCATAGCCGAATCGGCATTTCCCAGGCTTGAGTGTAAGATTGGCCGATCTAATGGCTTCGAGCACATTTCGAAGGCGACGAAGATGCTCGTCAAACGTTTCTGAAAACAAAACGACACCATCGAGGTAGACGAGACAGTTTTCGACTTGAGGTCCGCCAGGACGGTGTCCATCATTCGCTGGAATGTGGCTGGAGCGGAACAGAGGCCGAAAGGGAGCACTTTGAATTCATAAAGGCCATCCGGTGTTACAAAAGCGGTCTTTTCCTGGTCACGTTCATCGACCTCTACCAATAACCACTCTTCAAGTCGACGGACGAAAAATACTTCGCGCGCCACAGCCTGTCCAGAGAATCATCCACTCTGGGCAACGGGTACATGTCTTTCATTGTGACATTGTTAAACTTCCTGTAGTCGACACAAAAGCGAAGCGTGCCATCTTTCTTTTTCACGAGAACGACTGGTGATGACCAAGAGCTCCTTGAAGGCTGTATCACGCCATGCTGAAGCATTTCCTTAACCTGCGTTTGAATCGCATGCCGTTCGGTTGGCGAAACATGGTAAGGCTGCTGCCGTATTGGATGCGGGTTGTCGTAGGTGATAATACGGTGTTTCGTAATCGGTGTTTCACGTACCTTCGAAGAACGTGCAAAGCATGTGTGGAATGCCAGCAACAGCTCGCTCAAACGCTGCTTGTTCGCTTCAGAAAGCGTTGGATTGATGTCGACGCTGCGGAAAGGTGCTTCAGCAGTGTCGATGGCCTCGGAAGCAAAACACTCGGTGACATTGGCGACTGGGTCGGCGTAGGTGATGACAGTTCCAGGGAAAAAAGGTGCTGGTGCTCATAACTGAAGTTTGTGATGAAAACGGCACAGTGATCATCACGAAGGTCAACGAGGCTTCTTGCTACGCAGACACCCTGAGACAGCAGAAGCGAGTGACTGCTTTCCACGACTGCTTCACCGTGTATTACTCTGTCCAACGCCACCTGAACCA